ACACAATGCCACAGATGTCTCAAGTTTTGAGGGAGCGTGCAATTGGTATGCTGACTGCAGGACTGTCCAACAGACGTGTTGCCAGAATTTTTCATGTTAATTTCCCTAACATAAGCCGCATCCAACGTCGTTTTAGAGAATTTGGCAGTACATCCAACCGGCCTCACAACTGCAGACCATGTGTAACCACGCCAGCCCAGGACCTCCACATCCGGCTTCTTCACCTGCGGGATCGTCTGAGACCAGCCACCCGGACAGCTGATGAAACTGAGGAGTATTTCTGTCTGTAATAAAGCACTTTTGGGGGAAAGGGGGAAAAGCTCAGTGGGTGGGCCTGGCTGCCAAGTGGGTGGGCCTATGCCCTCCAAAGCCCACCCATGGCTGCACCCCTGCCCAGTCATGTGAAATCCATAGATTAGGGCCTAATTTATTTATTTAAATTGGCTGAGTTCCTTATATGAACTGTAACTCAGTAAAATCTTTGATATTGGTGCATGTGGCATTTTATATTTTTGTTCAGTATACATTGTACTGAGTGTGAATGTTTAAGCCAGTGGTCTCCAACAGGTAGATCAATTCTGAAAGTACATGCACTTTTTGATGTCTTCCTTTGCAAATTGTCATAAACATTAAGCTGCCGGCTAATATCCAATCAAAGGACATTCCTCCTTTTTCATCACCTCTTCCACTGTTCAAAAGCTCTGTGTATCTAGAGGGCACATTGTACGATAGAAATCGAACTTCTCTCTCTCTCGCTCAGTATGTGGTTTTCTCTGCCATGTAAAAATCATGACCACATAATGAACCTCCTCGGGGTAAAGGCCTGCTAACGCTTAACTCTGTCTCCTCTTTGTCCTTTTCCTCCCGCTCTTCCCCCACTTTCTCCTCCAACTCCTCTTCCTCTCGCTCCAACTCCCTTCCTCATCAATCCTACTCTTCTCCACCACAAGATGACAAAGACCACCCATTCTCTTCCTGTCTCCGTCTCTTACTCACTCTACATTTCTATGCATCACTGTTTCTCTCTCTCCCTCACACTTCCAATCAGTCTCTGTATCATCTGCTTCATACATTTAATTTATATAATAACTTATAATAATAGCTTTCTCCAACTTTACGGAATATAATTCTCTTTGTCTCTCTCTATTTCCCCTGCCCTCCTGTCCTTCCATCTGTGGCACACATTTGTGTTGTTTGACTGAAGTTACTGAAGCACAGATCCTGATTACTACCATGTGAAATGCTCACCCTTCGACACACGCACAGGGATTTGTGCATGTTTATCACTCCCACACATCGGGCCCCAGTGGAGCACACAGGATGACATTGCCATGAGGAACCTTTTTGTTTTTGTCTGGCTGGTGTGTTTTTCAGTCTTAATGAAGGCTGCCTCTCACTGTTGTTACTGCCCCGGAGGTCAGATGGCACATTTTCACAGGTTGACCTCTAACCTGAAAGGTCTGAGCTGCAACACAGACTCACAGCACTCACAGCTCTTGTGGACAGGGTTGTAAGCCCTCAGAGAGAGAGAGAGAGAGAGCGAAAGAGTGGGAGGGAAGACACATTCACATTCACACTTCAATATAAAAAACTACACTCCGAGCAAGAGCTTATGCAAATGTCATCTTATCACACATACTACCCAAAACGTCACAAACCAATGCTGGCATTAAGATTGCACTGAATGAGCTGTATAAGGCCATAAGTGAACAGGAAAACGCTCATCCAGAGGCAGCGCTCCTAGTGGCCAGGGACTTTAATGCAGGGAAACTTAAATCCGTTCTACCTAATTTCTACCAGCATGTTAAATGTGCAACCAGAGGGAAAAAAACTCTAGACCACCTTTACTCCACACACAGAGACGCATACAAAGCTCTCCCTCGCCCTCCATTTGGCAAAGCTGACCAACTCTATCCTCCTGATTCCTGCTTATAAGCAAAAACTAAAGCAGGAAGCACCAGTGACTCTGTTAATAAAAAAGTGGTCAGATGACGCAGATGCTAAGCTACAGGACTGTTTTGCAAGCACAGACTGGAACATGTTCCGGGATTCTTCAGATAGCATTGAGGAGAGTACACCACATCAGTCACTGGCTTCATCAATAAGTGCATCGATGATGTTGTCCACACAGTGACGTACGTACATACCCCAACCAGAAGCCATGTATTACAGGAAACATCCGCACTGAGCTAAAGGGTAGAGCTGCCGCTTTCAAGGAGTGGGACTCTAACCCGGACGCTTATAAGAAATCCCGCTATGCCCTCCGACGAACCATCAAACAGGCAAAGAGTCAATACAGGACTAAGATTGAATCGTACTACACCAGCTCTGACGCTCGTCGGATGTGGCAGGGCTTGAAAACTATTACAGACTACAAAGGGAAGCACAGCCGCGAGCTGCCCAGTGACACAAGACTTCCAGATTAGCTAAACCACTTCTATGCTCGCTTCGAGGCAAGCAACACTGAAGCATGCATGAGAGCACCAGCTGTTCCGGATGACTATGTGATCACGCTCTCCATAGCCGATGTGAGTAAGACTTTTAAGCAGGTCAACATTCACAAGGCCGCAGGGCCAGACGGATTACCAGGACGTGTACTCCGAGCATGTGCTGACCAACTGGCAAGTGTCTTCACTGACATTTTCAACATGTCCCTGACTGAGTCTGTAATACCAACATGTTTCAAGCAGACCACCATAGTCCCCGTGCCCAAGGACACTAAGATAACCTGCCTAAATGACTACCGACCCGTAGCACTGACGTCTGTAGCCATGAAGTGCTTTGAAAGGCTGGTCATGGCTCACATCAACACCATTATCCCAGAAACCCTAGACCCACTCCAATTTGCATACCGCCCCAACAGATCCACAGATGATGCAATCTCTATTGCACTCTACACTGCCCTTTCCCACCTGGACAAGAGGAACACCTACGTGAGAATGCTATTCATTGACTACAGCTCAGCATTCAACACCATAGTGCCCTCAAAGCTCATCACTAAGCTAAGGATCCTGGGACTAAACCCCTCCCTCTGCAACTGGATCCTGGACTTCCTGACGGGCCGCCCCCAGGTGGTAAGGGTAGGTAACAACACATCTGCCACATTGATCCTCAACACGGGGGCCCCTCAGGGGTGCGTGCTCAGTCCCCTTCCGTACTCCCTGTTCACCCATGACTGCATGGCCAGGCACGACTCCAACACCATCATTAAGTTTGCCAACGACACAACAGTGGTAGGCCTGATCACAGACAACGATGAGACAGCCTATAGGGAGGAGGTCAGAGACCTGGCTGTGTGGTGCCAGGATAACAACCTCTCCCTCAACGTTACCAACACAAAGGAGATGATTGTGGACTACAGGAAAAAAAGAGAACTGAGCACGCCCCTATTCTCATCGACGGGGCTGTAGTGGAACAGGTTGAGAGCTTCCACATGTCCACATCATCAACAAACTATCATGGTTCAAACACACCAAGACAGTTGTGAAGAGGGCATGACAAAGCCCATTCCCCCTCAGGAGACTGAAAAGATTTGGCATGGGTCCTCAGATCCTCAAAAAATTCTACAGCTGCACCATCGAGAGCATCCTGACTGGTTACATCACCGCCTCGTATGGCAACTGCTTGGCCTCTGACCGCAAGGCACTACAGAGGGTAGTGCGTACGGCCCAGTACATCACTGGGGCCAAGCTTCCTGCCATCCAGGACCTCTATACCAGGCGGTGTCAGAGGAAGGCCCTCAAAATTGTCAAAGACTCCAGCCACCCTAGTCATAAACTGTTCTCTCTGCTACCGCACGGCAAGCGGTACCGGAGTGCCAAGTCTGTCCAAAATACTTCTCAACAGCTTCTACCCTCAGGCCATAAGACTCCTGAACAGCTAATCATGGCTACCCGGACTATTTGCACTGCCCCCCCCCCACCCCCACCCCCCACCCCATATTTTTACGCTGCTGCTACTCTGTTAATTATTTATGCATAGTCACTTTAACTCTACCCACACATACATATTACTTCAACTACCTCAACTAGCCGGTGCCCCCGCACATTGACTCTGCACCGGTACCCCCCTGTATATATAGCCTCCCTACTGTTATTTAATTTTACTTCTGCTCTTTTTTTCTCAACACTTTTTTGTTGTTTTATTTTACTTTTTTTATTAAAAATAAATGCACTGTTGGTTAAGGGCTGTAAGTAAGCATTTCACTGTAATGTCTGCACCTGTTGTATTCGGCGCATGTGGCCAATAAAATTTGATTTGAGAAGAACCATTTGCATAGGTTTCCGCTCTTTGAGTGTAGTTCTTGATATGGATATGTGAATATATATTTTCTGTTGTGGGTTCATACTCCAGGGTGTGCATGTACCTTTTCATCTCTCTGTCCTCTGTTGGGCCACACCCCAGCCTGCCCCCTTTCCTGACTCAGTTTAGCCAAGGGTCAGTGGTTTATCATTGCTTCCATGTGTGGCCCAGTGTGGGATGTCTGGAGGTCAGGACAACCACAGGGAATCCCCTGAGACTGCTCCTCCTCAGCTCGGAGCTCCTTTCCTGGGCTTGGCCATCGCAGGCTCAGCCCTCGGGGCCAGACAATCATAATTAGGGGAGATGTCTCTTAGGAGCTGGCCTTTCCTGCCCCCCGTCTCTAGAGATGTGTTCCAACAATACAGGCCCAAAATACATCATTAAAAGAGGTTGCTAGAACTGTGCAGTTGAGGTGTCAGGCAAGTTAATTTATTCTTGCTGTGTGTGTGTGTGTGTGTGTGTGTGTGTGTTATGTCTCCTACCTAATTTGTACCTTTTTGTTTCCCAGGGTCCCGTTCTATTCTAGAAGACACATGGACTAAAATAAATAGGGGCACCAGGTGAGGTAAGTTGTGGAAAATACAATAAGATAAACACACACACCAATACAAAAAGCTTTGAAAAGACATGGGGATTTCTCCCTTTAACCAAAAGCACTTTAGGTGAAGACTGTCACCTTTGACCTCTCACCTCTGCAGGCCCTCTGGCTGTCCTTTGCTGTGACCTGGCCTCTGACTGCTGATTGGAGCCGGCCTGGTGTTCGTATAGGTGTGTGTGAGGAGATGAAGTCCAGTATGCGTCAGTGGCGGAGGCTGGTGTTAGTGGGCATGTTGGCATGGGCCCTCCTCTTCCTGGCTCTGCTATCCTACTTCCTGGACGCCCGTGTGGACAACGAGGCCCTGACCTCCGCTGGCTCCTCGCTCTCCCAGCACCCCGACACGCGCCGCTTGTCCTCCATTCAAGCCGCCTCCCACCAGCAGCGCCATTCCATCATAGGCTCCCAACCCGAACCCGCCTACACCACCTTTACCACCATCTACCCCAACCCAGACCCTAACTCTAACCATTACCCAGACTCAGAAGCAGAGCCTAGCCCCACTTCCACCACCCCAGAACCTGGCCTGGAGCTGAGCCAGAGCCCAGACAGCGGTCCCTACGGGACCAGCCAGGAGGGGGAGGGGGGCAGCCGACAGCAGCAGGACTACCTGGACCCCCAGACCCTGGCTGCATGGTCCTCCTTCGGCACGGAGAACGTGGGTTCCCACTCCGACCAGACAGTGACCCGTAGCCGCGAGAGAACCACCTGGACCGCCTCCGATGCTGACCGGGGGCCCAACCGAATAACGCGCAGATCCTCACGTGAGGACGAAGAGGCGGAGGAGGGGGTTCAGACGAACAACAGCCACAGGAGGAGGACCACAGTGTGGGGGCGTGGGGGGAAGAGAGAGGGGTGGGGAAAAGAGGAGAATGATTTAGAAGAATACTACTTCTCCAAGTCGGCCTCTGTGGTCCAGCGACTTTGGCGGGGAAGTGTCTCCTCTGGAATGCTGTCCCCGCGGCTGCAGCGCGCCATGCGTGACTACCTGAGTGCCAACAAGCACCACGTGGCTTATAAAGGAGGCAGGCGGGCCGCCCAGAGCTCCAGGGAACTGCTGTGTGAGCTGAAGGACCAGGCCAGGCTGAGGACACTGGACGGGTCCGAGCAGCCCTTCTCCTCGCTGGGCTGGGCCCACCTTGTGCCGCGCCTGGCCCTGGAGCAGCTCTACAGACAGGGTGGCCAGAGGGGCTTCAGGAGCTGTGCTGTGGTGACCTCCGCTGGGGCTATTCTGCACTCAGGCCTGGGGAAGGAGATCGGTGAGTGAAGGCTAGAGGGAGGGGAGAGGACAGGGGATGGGAGGGGATAGGGAATATGGAGATGGAGGGCAGGGGGCAGGGGGAGGGAGGTATGCAGGTTAAACGGGAGGAAGGGATTGAAGGCGAACTGGGATATGATGGCTGAAATTTCTTGAAGCTTTTATCGGTACAGTAAATTGAAAAAACAAACACTTTGTTTTACCTAATGCCCTGATAAATAGGACCCTGGTCTTGCCTATGTGTGACTGTGTGTATGTCAGAGTGTGAAATACAGCATTGATCCTGAGCTGTTTTCTCTGTGACAACCCTGTCTCTGTGGCAGTCTGTCTATGAGAGGGGAGAATGATGTCTCTTTACGAAGTGACATCCACATCATTGATTGGAAAGTACATTTGTCATGTAACGCTATCGACTTCCCAATTCGCCCCACAGCGTTAGTGTTAGCTTAGCGTAGCGCAGTGACGTGACATTTTGGCTTGGGCTCTAAACTGTCTCACACATCAAGTAATAGACATCTGTCACACTGTAGTAACAATCTCTATGATTGGCTGAAAGGGCTTTGGCATAAGTCATTCAAAGCCAATCAGATCTCCAGAAGGGTCTTGAGGAGTTAGTTTGGAGATCCTCTATATACTGTACCTCTAGAATACTTTGGCTGACTGCATTGCAGCTTGTCTTTGTGTGTGTTCTGTTTTCTGTGTTGGCGTCTCTATGTGGGCATGGGGAGAGTGAACTCGGGGCCAGCTGGCTGACTTGTTTAATTGTATAGATTAGCAGGAAATCAAACCATATTGATCTCACTTAGTTACTCCACATCTGCCCAATGCTGAGGTGTTTCTGGAAATACCTTCCTATCTTCCCATCCTTTCCTTCATGTCAAAGTGTGTGTGTGTGTGTGTGTATGTGTGTGTATGTGTGTGTGTGTGTGTGTGTGTGTGTGTGTGTGTGTGTGTGTGTGTGTGTGTGTGTGTGTGTGTGTGTGTGTGTGTGTGTGTGTGTGAGCATGTGAGTGTATGTATGAGGTTATAGTCAATAAGGTGAGAGGTTTGTGAATCTGTAGTTGGACATCTGTACCAGACTGTAATGTTTCACTGGCACCGTGTGGTGAATTGGCTGAATAACACCCTCAACGGCCTTCTACATTCCTCACTGCTCTCTCCCTCCACAGCTCTGTTCTTAACTGACAGCTCTGTTCTTAACTGACTTGCCTAGTTAAATAAAGGTAAAATAAAATAAAATGGTGGTACATCCTGAATAGGTACACAAATGTAGAAAAATGTAATATCCTCCTTTGCATGTTTGGGTATTATTCTACACACTGGCTACTATTCTAATGAGCTCATCCCAAATAACACCAAATTTGGTTGGTCCGGACCAGACCAAATCTGTACCAATCATAGATGTATGTTTCACAAGTTTGGACAGTAAACTAGAGTAGAGTTCAGTACAGCACAGTATAATACAGTACAATACAGTAAATTATACTGTAATCTACTCTAGTATGCTCTACTGTACTTAACTCGACTTTACAGTACTGTATTGTACTGACCTCTACTCTAATTTCCTTTACTGTACTGTGCTCTACTGCACTGTACTGTCCAAACTTGTAAAACAGACATCTATGATTTTATCTGTAAAAGGACCCGTAAGTAAGCATTTCGCTGTTCATTTACACCTGTTGTTTAAGAAGCATGTAACAAATAACATATCTTTTTTTTTATTGGTTCATATTTTAGGTGTATTTTTTGCCTTATTCCGTTTAGTTTTTCCCCAAATTCTGTTTTCTCTTTTTAGTTTTTCCAGGTTTTAGATTTTTCAAAGGTTTTTAAATTGTTTTTTGCTCTCAAAATAGAAAAATAGAAAACACAAAATTGGATGTTGTAAGTCCACAACAATGCTTAAACCACATCAGGAGACCACTTTTGAAGTCTGGGAAAAATCAAATATATTTTTAATTTTGGGTGTAGATACCCTTTAATTCAGACTTATTTAAGCGTGTGATTGTAGAGTTTGCTAAACAAATCACCACTGGATTGATGCAAATAATAATGATATCATTCTGCCAGGTAGGCATATGCTACTTTGTAGTTAACATTTAATTGAGCAGGTTTTTGGGAAAGCCTTTCCATCTACCAGAAGACGGTTATTAGCATAATCGCTAACGGCTACACAAAGTGGTAGACAAAAACACACTCACAGACATGGGCATTCCCGCGTCTCCTTAGAAAGTTTAAGGAAAATACGAATCACTGATGCATTTTGTTCATGTCTTTTGATAATCTTTGGCAAATGAATACATTTTCTAATAAATTCAATACTTTTAGTGGATTTCCTACTAAGTTCAAAATATTTTTGAATATTGTTGAATTCCGTTTTAATGTCTGGATTCCGTGATTCCGTCCACGTTCACCGCATCGCGGATTTTATAGGGCCCTAATATTTGGACTGACCAAATTTCAACTACTTTTCAACGTCCATGGACTTCCGGTGTCCGTCGGTGCTCAGTGGGTGAGGAGGCTGGTTACAGTAAATGGAAAGAGAGGGGGCTCATGGGTAGGTGTCAGTAAGAGCTGGGAGAGGTATCATTAACTGGAGTGAGAGAGGGACAGGGGAGAGAGAGAGAGGGAGGGGTTGTCCAGACTGTTTTCACACTCTTGTTTGACCACCACGCGACAGAAAGAGAAAGAAAACAGTTCAGCTGAATTTAACAGTATGCCAGAGGACAGTAGCAGGTGACCTAACTGTGGTTTGTGACTACTATGATTTCCCATTGTAGCCAATTCAGTTGCAGTCATTCTGTTAGTTTATTTGGTAATTATGTTACCGATTTGGCAAAACTAAATATAAATGTTGATATTAGTTGGCAGGGGTCTTTACTTCAACATGATTGTGTTTTGATGTATTTCTAATACCTTAAGACTTTTTCTGCTAAACGTTTTCTAACACCCCTTTTCCATCTGTTTGACCTGAAATCAAAGCCTTTGCTTATTCCTAATTTTTAGGATGTAAAATGGTTGAAAAATGTTTATATATGCCTTAAGTTCTCAAAAATATAGACTCAGCTTTCTTTTCTTTTTTTAATGTATTTTATTTTTGTCTTAAAAAAAAAAAAATTCCAGATACAAACGTATACATACGAATAACAACTTACAGACCCACACGAACATTGACTACATCTCATCTGTCCAGACCCACATGCTCACATCCCCATCCCTAGTGCCTGCATTATTGTTTGCCACTTGGCATTAAATTGAACCAATTCGGTTTTTTTCGGTCACCCCATGCTATTTCAATAATTCAATAATAAATAATTCGATTTTTCCATTGTGAAAATTGATTTCCAAGTTTTTAGTATACATCTTTTCAAGATGAGTGATGAGAAGAGAATCGTCTAGCCCATTGGGTATCTCACTACACCCCCAAATGCCATGTCTTGAAATATGCAGACAGACGGATTAAAAGTAAATTGACATTTTAATAGTTCTGACAGCTAACTTTATAGCGCCGCCCATAACTTTTGAACTTTATAGCATTCCCAGAAATTTTTGAAATGTTTCTCTTGTATAATACATTCTATACATTAGTTTATACTGGATTAAGCGTACATTTTCGTTAACTGTAATTTCGTTAGTTATGCTCCAACTTTCCCTCCATCTTGTACCAACATCAGTTATTTTTAAGTCTTGGTTCGAATATTTTATATATTTTTCTAAGAGATTGGAAGTTGGATATGCTCTCTGCAAGGTTTTGTATATCTTCCCTATTATATGAACATCCTTTTCTGACTCAAAATAAGATTCCCTCAAGCTTGCTCTGATGTCCAAAAGTTTTCAAATCTAAATTTTGTGATATGTAACTTTTAAGTTGCATGTATTTGAAACTATCTACATTGGTCAGTCCAAAATTACTTTTTAATTATGTAATGTAAATAAATGTATTTCCTGTTACCAAGTCATGCCTTTAGTTTTCCATGTGGACCAATTTATCGGTGAATTCTGAAAACCTATCCTATGATTGTTCCATAACGTTGTGTTTTTAGGGAGTGATATTGGTTCTTGTAGAATACGTTTAACTTTCTTTCATATTGTTAGCTTTCATTTGACACCAAATGTGATGTGCCCTTATGAACTTCACGTTACTGCTCATGGCGCCTTCGACATGGAAATGCCCATATTGCTTGTACTTGACTGTTCATTTTAGATCTGGGAAGTACACTACAGTTCAAAAGTTTGGGGTCACTTAGAAATGTCCTTGTTTTCCATGAAAACATACATGAAATGAGTTTGAATAGGAAATATAGCAAAATGCATAGGAAATGTAGTCATTGACATGGTTAGAAATAATGATTTTTAATATAAATAATAATTGTGTCCTTCAAACTTTGCTTTCGTCAAATAATCCTCCATTTGCAGCAATTACAGCTTTGCAGACCTTTGGCATTCTAGTTATCAATTTGTTGAGGTAATCTGAAGAGATTTCACCGCATGCTTCCTGAAGCACCTCCCACAAGTTGGATTGGCTTGATGGGCACTTCTTACGTACGATACGGTCAAGCTGCTCCCACACAGCTCAATAGGGTTGAGATCCGGTGACTGTGCTGGCCACTCCATTATAGACAGAATACCAGCTGACTGATTCTTCCCTAAATAGTTATTGCATAGTTTGGAGCTGTGCTTTGGGTCATTGTCCTGTTGTAGGAGGAAATTTGCTCCATTCAAGCGCCATCCACAGGGTATGGCATGGCGTTGCAAAATGGAGTGATAGCCTTCTTCAAGATCCCTTTTACCCTGTACAAATCTCCCACTTTACCACCACCTCAGCACCCCCAGACCATCACATTGCCTCCACCATGCTTGACAGATGGCATCAAGCACTCCTCCAGCATCTTTTCATTTAGTCTGCGTCTCACAAATGTTCTTCTTTGTGATCCGATCACCTGAAACTTCGATTTATCTGTCCATAACACTTTTTCCCAATCTTCCTCTGTCCAGTGTGTGTTCTTTTACCCATCTTAATCTTTTATTTTTATTGGCCAGTCTGAGATATGGCTTTTTCTTTGCAAATCTGCCTAGAAGGTCAGCATCCCGGAGTCGCCTCTTCACTGTTGACGTTGAGACTGGTGTTTTGCGGGTACTGTTTAATGAAGCTGCCAGTTGAAGACCTGTGAGGCGTCTGTTTCTCAAACTAGACACACTCATTTATTTGTCCTCTTGCTCAGTTGTGCGCCGGGGCCTCCCACTCCTCTTTCTATTCTGGTTAGAGCCAGTTTGCGCTGTTCTGTGAAGGGAGTAGTACACAGTGTTGTGCGAGATCTTCAGTTTCTTGGCAATTTCTCACATGGAATAGCCTTAATTTCTCAGAACAAGAATAGACTGACGAGTTTCAGAAGAAAGTTATTTGTTTCTGGCCATTTTGATTCTGTAATCGAACCCACAACTGCTGATGCTTCAGATACTCAACTAGACTCAAGAAGGCCAGTTGTATTGCTTCTTTAATCAGCACAACAGTTTTCAGCTGTGCTAACATCATTGCAAAAGGGTTTTCTAAAGATCAATTAGCCTTTTAAAATGATAAACTTGCCATTGGAACACAGGACTGATGTTTGCTGATAATGGGCCTCTGTACGCCTCTGTAGATATTCCATTAAAAATTAGCAGTTTCCAGCTACAATAGCCATTTACAACATTAACAATGTCTACACTGTATTTCTGATCAATTTGATGTTATTTTAATGGACAATTTGTTTTAGTTTCTTTCGAAAACAAGGACATTTCTAAGTGACCCCAAACTTTTGAACGGTAGTGTGCCTTTTGAGATGGGGGCTGCCTGGGGATCCAGTAATAGTACTTTAACAATATTGGTGCTCTGAAAAATAAATGGTCCTGTCCATCAGCCATACTAAATCAAATCAAATCAAATTTTATTTGTCACATACACGTGTTTAGCAGATGTTATAGCGGGTGTAGCGAAATGCTTGTGCTTCTAGCTCCGACAGTGCAGTAATATCTAACAAGTAATATCTAACAATTTCACAACATATACCTAATACACACAAAACTAGTAAGGAATGGAATTTAAGAAAATATACATATATGGACAAGCAATGACAGAGCGGCATGGACTAAGATACAGTAGAATATTATAGAATAGAATGCAGTATATACATATGAGATGAGTAGTGCAAGATATGTAAACATTATTAAAGTGACTGTAAATATTGTTAAAGTGACTAGTGTTCCATTTCTTAAAGTGGCCAGTGATTTCAATAGGCAGCAGCATTCTCTAATGTGCTAGTGATGGCTATTTAACAGTCTGATGGCCTTGAGATAGAAGCTGTTTTTCATTCTCTCGGTCCCAGCTTTGATGCACCTGTACTGACCTCGCCTTCTGGATGATAGCGGGGTGAACAGGCAGTGGCTCGGGTGGTTGATGTCCTTGATGATCTTAAAGGCCTACCTGTGACATCGGGTGCTGTATGTGTCTTGGAGGGCAGGTAGTTTGCCCCCGGTAATGCGTTTGGCAGACCGCACCACCCTCTGGAGAGCCCTGTGGTTGCGGGCGGTGCAGTTGCCGTACCAGGTGGTGATACAGCCCGACAGGATGCTCTCAATTGTGCATCTGTAAAAGTTTGTGAGGGTTTTAGGTGCCAAGCTGAATTTCTTCAGCCTCCTGAGGTTGAAGAGGCGCTGTTGCGCCTTCTTCACCACACTGTCTGTGTGGGTGGACCATTTCAGTTTGTCGGTGATGTGTACGCCAAGGAACTTGAAGCTTTCCACCTTCTCCACTGCGGTCCCATCGATGTGGATAGGGGGGTGCACCCTCTGCTGTTTCCACGATCATCTCCTTTGTTTTGATGACGTTGAGTGAGAGGTTATTTTCCTGGCACCACACTCCCAGAGCCCTCACCTCTTCCCTGTATGCGGTCTCGTCATTGTTGGTAATCAAGCCTACTACTGTTGTGTCGTCTGCAAACTTGATGATTGAGTTGGAGGCGTGCTTGGCCACGCAGTCATGGGTGAACAGGGAGTACAGGAGGGGGCTGAGCACGCACCCATGTGCCTTATGGGGCCCCAGTGTTGAGGATCAGCGAAGTGGAGATGTTGTTTCCTACCTTCACCACCTGGGGGTGGCCCGTCAGGAAGTCCAGGACCCAGTTGTATAGGGCGGGGTTCAGACCCAGGGCCTCGAGCTTGATGATGCGCTTGGAGGGTACTATGTTGTTGAATGCTGAGCTATAGTCAATGAACAGCATTCTTACATAGGTATTCCTCTTGTCCAGATGGGATAGGGCAGTGTGCAGTGTGATGGCGATTGCATCGTCTGTGGATCTATTGGGGCGGTAAGCAAATTGAAGTGGGTCTAGGGTGACAGGTAAGGTAGAGGTGAAATGATCCTTGACTACTAGCTAGAGGACGAAAACCACACATTTCAATGTCAGTGAGAACTTGGTGTCCTAAGGGGTTAAACTGAGTGTCGATCTATTGAATGCCAATACACAAACTGATGGTTGACTGGTGTCATTGATGAAGTGTCGGGTAGCTTTGCTGTGGAAGCCCATCCGTTGACGTGTCAGATCAACCATAGAGGATCATACATCCATGTGTCATGTAGCCCTGCTGAAGTCTAAATGGACTGATCGACCAGTGGAGAGGGACTGATTTAAAAGTGTCTGAGCTTAGTCATGACCATCAATCATAACATTGTGTGTGTGACCATGTACACTGAGTGTACAAAACATTAGGAACATGTTCTTTCCATGACATAAACTGACCAGGTGAATCCAGGTGAAAGCTATGATCGCTTATTGATGTCACTTGTTAAATCCACTTCAATCAGTGTAGATAAAGGGGAGGAGATGGGTTAAAAATGATTTTTATGCCTTGAGACAATTGAGACATGGATTGTGTATGTGTGCCATTCAGAGGGTGAATGGGCAAGACAAAATATTTAAGTGCGTTTGAAAAGGTTAGGTGCCAGTCATACCGGTTTGAGTGTGTCAAGAACTGCAACGCTGCTGGGTTTTTCACACTTAACAGTTTCCCGTGTGTATCAAGAATGGTCCACCACCCAAAGGACTTCCATCCAACTTGACACAACGGGGGGAAGCATTGGAGTCAACATGGGCCAGCATCCCTGTGGAACGCTTTCGACACCTTGTAGAGTCCATGCCCCGACAAATTCAGGCTGTTCTGAGGGCAAAAGTGGTGCAATTGAATATTAGGACGGTGTTCCTAATGTTTTGTACACTGAGTGTATGTGTACACTTCCTCGTGTTTGTTTGTTTGTTTGTTTGTGTGTGTGTGTGTGTGTGTGTGTGTGTGTGTGTTGATGCCTATGTATGTGCGTGCGTGAAGGTGTGTGTGTGTGTGAAGGCCAGTAGAAGGACACACTGCCTGTTTCTATGCTATGTACTAGCCTGTTGGTAGTGTGGAGACTGGACTGGGCTCAGTCTGAAAGCTTTGTTTCCTGGTGATGATGATCATAGAATTCATACTAGTAGAGCAGGTGCCTGTGAAAGTCCCTTCAGTTACACACGTTGACCACTAGAGAATACTCTTTCTGTGTCTGTGAGTAGTGATACTTTCATGTACTGTTGCATCAAAGCACAGAGCTGAATCCTGTACTAGGTTGCTCATTTACCGGATTGTCCATGTCAAATGGCCATTCACAGTGATCGGTCATTCAGTTAGTGTTTTGACTATGGCTGAAAGCAGAGGGCTTCTTCTGACTGTATGGATTGGAGAGGGGAGAGGAGCAGTCAGGGTGAAGTGGAAAAGGTCAGAGAGACTTACAAGTGAAGAGATTCAGCTTCACTGCCAGACTCTCAGGGTATCACTAGAGGTTAAGTAGATGCAGGCAGGCAGGTAGGCAGACTCAGCGCCAAGACCAAATAAACCATTGTATTTGGCCAGAGTAAACACTGTGCAAAGACAGACTATTGGATGTAATCTAGGGGCTTGTCGTTTATGAGCACTTGATTGATTTTCTGTTTCTGAGGTGGCCTCTGATATTTGGCTGCCAAAACTTGATTGTCTTAGTTAAGTAACACTTGATTGACTTAGCAGAGTGACATTTCATTTACTTAGTTGAGTAACACTTGATTGACTTAGCAGAGTGACATTTAAATGTTTTCATTGAATGACACTGACTTTATTTCTGATGTGTTTTCTCTGTCTGTCCTGCCCCCCAGATTCCCATGATGCAGTTCTGCGGTTCAACGCAGCGCCTACAGAGGGCTACGTGAGGGATGTGGGGAACAAGACCACCATCCGCATCATCAACTCACAGGTGTGTGTCATAAGACTAACATGCATGTCACAACCTAAGAGGCACTACAACAGGCTTCACAACACAGCATGAATATTTGCCCGAAATCAAGTGCCATGTCTGAGTAAGTGGTTCAGCATTTTGAATAGGTCATTACTAATTCAAACACACAACAACAAGCATCCACATGAGCCTGATTTGCATATGAATGTGATTAATTCAAAGCAGGCACACGTGTAATGATCGTGTGTGTGTGTGTGTGTGTGTGTGTGTGTGTGTGTGTGTGTGTGTGTGTGTGTGTGTGAACCAGCTGTCCTCCAGTATTAGGTAGGCAGTGAGTGATCACCCTTAACCATTATGAGTAAGTGGGCTATCACCACAGTTCCAGTTCAGTCATCTTCTCCCAGTGAAGAAGCCATCTTCTCCCACTCTCAGCACAGAGAACAACATGCAGTAAAGACACACACACACACACACACACACACACACACACACACACACACACACACACACACACACACACACAGTAGCACATTCTACTACTGTCACACTAACAATCAAAGCAACCGCAGAGCTCATTCTACTGTGTACCCACAGCTCCCATGGAGAGAGCGAGTGTGTGTTTTCATGTGTGCGGGCACTGCAGTGCTGCATCTAGTTTCATGTATAACCTTTGACCCCTCCCCTTTACAGATCCTGGCCGATCCCAAGCACCGCTTTAACACCAGCTCCCTGTATAAGAAGGTGACTCTGGTGGCCTGGGACCCTGCTCCGTACGCTGTCAACCTGCACAAGGTGTGTGGGAGTGTTTGTTTGTGTGTATGTGTGTGTTTGTGTCCTCTTTCTCCCTATATCTCTCTCGCTCCCTCCTCCTCTTTCCCCCCTCTCTCTCTCTCACTCTCTTTCTCTCTCGCTCTCTCTCGCGCTCTCTCTTTGAGTAGAGGTGCATGCTCAGTCACAAGTCCCGGGGAAAATGACGAAGCCGTGATGATCATTGTGATAGGAGAATAAGAGACTTCCTGTAGGATAAAGGAGTGTAGAGATGACCTGTTCACCAAGAGTCCAATCCAGTTGTTCTGTAGACATAATGGGACCCATGTCATCCCAAAAGTTATACTTTTGACTCATCTGTCCATAGAACATTCTTCCAAGACTCTTGATGATCTTCCAGGTGCTTTTTGGCAAACTTCAGTCAACTTTTTGGACGAGATGGGTCCCATAATGTCTGGCGAAAACCAAACACTGCATTCCACAGTAAGAACCTCATACCAACGGTCAAGCATGGTGGTGGTAGTGTGATGGTTTGGGGATGCTTTGCTGCCTCAGGACCTGGACGACTTGCCTTAATAGAAGGAATCATGAATTCTGCTCTGTATCAGAGAATTCTACAGGAGAATGTCAGGCCATCTGTCTGAGAGCTGAAGCTGAAGTGCAGCTGGGTCATGCAGCAAGACAATGATCCAAAACACACAATCAAGTCTACATGAAAATTGTTAAAAAGCAACAAATTTGAAGTTTTGGAATGGCCTAGTCAAAGTCCAGACCTAATCCCAATTGAGATGTTGTGGCAGGACTTGAAACGAGCAGTTCATGCTTGAAAACCCACAAATGTCGCTGAGTTAAAGCAGTTCTGCATGCAAGAGTGGACCAAAAGTCCTCCACAACAATGTGAGAGACTGATCAACAACTACAGGAAGCATTTGGTTGCAGTCATTGCAGCAAAAGGTGGCACAACCAGTTATTGAGTGTAAGGGGAATAATTACTTTTTCACACAGGGGAATTGGGTGTTGCATAACTTTGTTAATTAAAGTATCCATTTATTTATTTATTTGTAAACTCAGGTTCCCTTTATCTAATATTAGGTTTTGGTTGAAGATCTGATAACATTCAGGATCAAAAAATTGCAAAAATAGAGAAAATCAGAATACTTTTTCACTGCACTGTATAAGCATCTAGCTCGCTTTGTTCACTGCTTGCTTGTTACAATACCAATTTGCTGAGGCGTGGAGCTCCTCAGTAATAGCAGAGAGCTGAATGGCAGTCAGACATGTTGCCTATCAGTCTCCAGAGCCCTCACCCACCCTCCCAGGCAATTACACCCTGCAGTGGGACTCCACTCAATGGTCCAGTGAGTGGAGTCCCACTGCAGGGTGTAATTGCCTGGGAGGGTGGGTGAGGGCTCTGGAGACTGATAGGCAACATGTCTGACTGCCATTCAGCTCTCTGCTATTACTGAGGAGCTCCACGCCTCAGCAAATTGGTATTGTAACAAGCAAGCAGTGAACAAAGCGAGCTAGATGCTTATACAGTGCAGTGGAAAAGTATTCTGATTTTCTCTATTTTTGCAATTTTTTGATCCTGACAGGTAGTAACAGGTGAAAGGTTCAGAGGTCTATTTCTTGCATTAGAAAACACCATTAGTTTAGTTTTGTCAGTATTGAGGATAAGCTTCAATTGACACAAGGTATGTTGAACAGTATAAAAAGCAGTTTGCAAGTTTTGGAAAGCTTTTGTAAGAGATGAGGCACAACAGTAAATAACAGTATCATCAGCATAAAAATGAAGTTGTGCATTTTGGACATTTTTGTCTAAATCATTAATATAAATAGTGAATAAGAGAGGACCAAGTACAGAGCCCTGGGGCACACCATTCAGGACAGACAATTTAACAGACATAAGCCCATCAAATTGAGTGCACTGAGTTCTATCAGACAGATAGTTAGCAAACCATGCAACTGCATGCTCCGAAAGACCTACACTCAACAATCTCTGCCTTAGTATAGCATGATCAACTGTATCAAAAGCCTTAGAGAGATCAATAAAAAGTGAGACACAGTGCTGTTTTTTGTCAAGGGCTTCAGTGGTTTTAAAAGTACTGTACTCCTCAGGCAAAACGCATGTGAAAAAGAGATTAGAGTTTATTCCTGTGGTTTTTCCTGCAATATGTTATCTAGCATTGTCCAATATGTAGTTGGTCCAGGAATATGTTGCAAAATGTCATAACATATTCCAGGAATAGCTACAGGAATCAACTTCCTTCAATCTGTCTCTTTGTTTAACTCTTTGTCTGTCTGTCTGTTTCTCTGTGGTATGCCAGTCTAGAGTAGACTATAACTATTACCCCTCCCCCCTCTCTCGCTCTCTCTCCCTCTTTCTCTGTCCCCCTCTCTCTTAAACCCCCTTCCTCATTCTCTCGCTATCCCCCTTCTCTCTCTCTCTCTGACAGTGGTATGCCAGTCCAGACTATAACCTGTTCAGTCCGTACATGGAGCACCGGAGGCTCCATCCCACCCAGCCCTTCTATGTCCTCCACCCCAAATATGTGTGGCAGCTCTGGGACGTCATCCAGGGCAACACCCAGGAGACCATCCAGCCCAACCCACCCTCCTCAGGGTTCATAGGTGAGACTGTGTATACCCACATGTGTATACACACGTACAAGCAAGCACATTGACACGCACACACATACACACGCACACACACACACTCACACACTTACACAAGTGTTCTATAAAGCAGGCTCTGTGGTTATAATGTTAACGTAAAAGTCCGATATGCAGCCAGTCGACCCCTCCATGTTGTGTAAGACAGTGCTTGGACTCAGCATCTGCTTGGCGTCATGTTATTGTGTTATTATAAAACAGCCCTACAGGACCTATAGCAACACTCACAGGGCTATTAAAACCTAGCGTACGTCAGAATCAGAACAGTGTCATCCTTATTTACAGCTATTAGGACCCCAGGAAGAGGTGTGTGTGTGTGTGGGGGGGGTACGCCACAGTGGGTTTAAGAGCCACAGAAGGTTTCTACATCTCTCCCCATCCTCCCCTTCTCCAGACCACTTCCTGGGTTATGCATGCATCAAGTAGTACAGGGCTGTATGGTGTGTTGCAGTAGGATTTGGGGTGTTGTTTATGTATACGGTAGTCGTTGAGTCAGACCCCCATATGTCCAATTTGGGGAGAACAATGTCTCACAGAGATTTTATTGAAGGACTATCTTTGTCCCTAATAATGAAGTGTAGTGGTGTATTGCAGTGTGATATTACAAATTGTTTACGTAATTATAATATTATAATTAAGTACATTTCAATTGCTCAGTAGACCAGTGAAATAAAAAATCACACAAGAAACACACAGAGACACGTTGAATTCAGAGCTTTCTTTGTACAGGTTCTGATGAAGGGGAAAAGGGCAGGGGAAGAAGACTGGGAGGGGGGTGGTAGGTACCCCAAACATCACACATGAGTTCATGAGTTCAAAGCCACTTCTCCCCAAACAAAATGCTGGCAGGTCCGGCAATAGTCCCATTCTCAGTCTGAGATCCATGTAGTTCCACAATAGAAAAGTCCAAGATCAAACCTTCAGTCCGAGATCACCCACAGTCACAATATCACCCACAGTCACCAGTGTACCAGTATCCTTCAGAGCTGTACTGCTCAGTATTTGTTCTCTTGATCAACTTTGATAGTCTTTGTAGTCTTTATCAGCTCTTTACTGGATATCCCATAGCTTATTGCACTGCAGTCAGTGGCTGTATCTCAAATCGCAGCCTATTACCCTTACTTCTTTCCAGAGCCCTATGTAGTGCACTACGTTCGGGAATAGGGTGCGATTTGAGATGCAGCCACAGACCTTCTCATCCGTCTTCACAGTCAGGACAGTACAGAGGATGGGAGTAGGGTAACCGCTGGGTGGGTGGGTGTGTGTGTGTGTTTGTGTGTGTGTGTTAGAGAGGTGGGGTCAGAGTGTGTGTGTGTGTGTGTGTGTGTGTGTGTGTGTGTGTGTGTGTGTGTTGGGGGATGAAATATGACAGAGATACACCGTTTTACTTGGGCAATGCGGTGTGTGTAGAGAATAAGCACTGAGGTTTTGCGAGTGTATTGAGCAATGGTTTTTACACCTACACAGAGACAAGCAGACTGAGCCAGAGAGAACAGGCAGAGTGAGATCAAATGGTACACACACACTCATACACATAATTCATAACCACACACACCCTCTCTCCCTTTTGAATGCAGCACACATGCTCACTCTATTGTACAGCCCCCGTCATGCATACATACACAGAAACATACTTTCTCTTGCACACACAGCATGCACAATTTCACTCCTACATACAGGTAAACACAGCAGTCAGTAAACAAATGGAAGGGGTTGGGCTCGAGCAGACGAGAGCATGGGGCCTGGAGCCTATTGGTCGGCACGGTACAGTAGCTAGCTAGCTGGGCCATGTATCATCATCCACCAGGCCTTCCCGGCGTGCCCGCTCATGAGGGAGTGACCTCGGGCGGGTTGATGTTAGTGTGCTCGGTGGCCGGGGTGCTGCAGCCATGGTTCTGGATGCCCGTGGAGATCTGGGCGGTGCACGCCACCGTGTTGCTGTAGACGCGGCGGTTAAGCTGGATGGCGGTGGTCTTGGAAGGCATGGAGGATTGGCCGTTCTCCACGGAGCGCCGTTCATACCGGATCAGTATCAGGAAACACTTGTAGAACTGAGGGGAGGGAGGAGGAGGGAGAGATTATAGGGGAGAAACATGGCAGGGCAGATATGGAAGAATGGGGTGAGGAAGACCAAAGGAAGAGATGGAGGAAAAGGCTGTTAGTATTTACTGCTTGGTGGTAGCATAAAACCTGAATGTGGAAGGTGTCTCTACAGCAAAGACAAGCGAAAACTAGCATTCATACATAGAGATCCTTTATTTATCATTTTTATACCGGTATTGTTCCATGTTACCATAGTAGCTGATGATTCTATGGGCTCTATCCTGCTATCTCTGGGTTGTATGAACAGGGTCATTCAGGAGTGCTAATATAACGTCACTTCCATTCTTGGTCAATAAAGTTTTAACACTTCAACTGCACTTATTATTTGGTGACCTTCTCGCTTGATTGTATATAACAACAACACACGCACACATGCACACTCGTGGAGAGAGATAGGTCATGGAATGGACACCCACACCTCTGTTCAGTCTCCCTTGAGAGGTTGGACAAAGGTAAACAGGAAGTGAGGTGGGAGAGAGGGAATGGCCCTTTAAGGACTTCAGTGCATCAGCAGAGTAGCGTGTTCTTGCCGTGTTTAGCGTGACCTCACAGGCCATTAAACATGCTACATACAGTAGTACATCACACCAACACGGATGCCCCCAGAGCCATGTACATCATGTCAACTCAGCTGTCTCTTCCTGTATTACTATTTCTCACTCTCACGGTTGACTGACCCACGAGAGATAACATAGTGTACATCAGGAAGGCAGAGTACCCGTACACTGTTTAGATGATCCTGTAGTTCCTATAGCAATGTATACTCTAAACTTTGATGAAGACCCTTTGTGGTTGAAACATTGCCAAATAACTGAGTGCACATTATTTTGGAGTGGCGGTAGAGTGGGAAAAGAAGCTGATACTAGCTCTGCCTCTTTAGTCCTGGCTGGCACAGCACAGAGACAGAGTATAAACAGATGTTTTTGTGTGTGTGTGTGTGTATGTGAACAAGAATGGATTTGGAGGTGAATTTAGGGTGTTTATGTGTGAGAGAGGCACATGGTTACTCAAGGTATGCAGACTGTAGTCTCTGTATGATGTGTATTTATGTAAACAGTGTGTCATGTGTGTACTGGGTGGTTCATAATTGGTTGGTATCCAAACTCAATGTATGTTCTGTTTTACTATAGTTAAGTGAAACAATAGTGCAACAGAGCTTGGATACCAGGCAACTTCATAATCACGTAAATCAATGTAAGGACTGCGTGTTTTGTAGAATGTATAACTTGTATGTGTGAGTGTGTGTGTATATACTAGACCAGTGGTTCTAAACTGGTGGGCCGCGACCCAAATTTTGTTCGCGGGAGGTTTTGAATGTATATATACACTGAGGGTACAAAACATTTAAGAACACCTTCCTAATATTTGGTTGCACCCCCCCTTTTTGTCCTAAGAACAGCCTTAATTCGTCGGGGCATTGCTCGACAAGGTGTTGAAAGCCTTTCACAGGGATGCTGGCCCATGTTGACTCCAATGTTTCCCACAGTTGTGTCAAGTTGGCTGGATGTCCTTTGGGTGGTGGGCCATTCTTGACACACACAGGAAACTATTGAGCGTGAAACCCAGTAGCGTTGCAGTTCTTGACACAAACCGGTGCACCTGGCACCTACTACCATACCCCGTTCATAGGCATTTAAATATTTTGTCTTGCCCATTCACCCTCTGAATGGCACACATACACAATCCATGTCTCAATTGTCTCAAGGCTTAAACATCATTTTTAACCTGTCTCCTCCCCATTCATCTACACTGATTGAAGTGGATTTAATAAGTGACATCAGTAAGTGATCATAGCTTTCACATGGATTCACTTGGTCAGTCTGTCATGGAAAGAGCAGGTGTTCATAATGTTTATACACTCAGTGTAGATCTTTTTTTTATGTAAAAAATGTGGGATGTAAAAACGTGTCTGAATTTAAACAACTAACCGGTAGAAAGTGTGTAGAAATAATAATGAACCTACATGAAAAAATTATTGGGCAACCCATTCTGCATCATATGATGCAAAATGCATCATACTGGCTGTATTTCTGTATTTTCAAAGTTGTATATCTTTAAAACTTGATTGCTGACATGCAAAACATTTTGGGACTATATCAACAACGGACAAATAAAACAAATACCTAAAGAGTTTTTGGGTGGAATTGTCCTTTAACCACAGTATTTTCAATATAGAGCTAATAGCAGCGCTATTTAGTAGATTTTGTGGTCTCAAACTAGTGAGCTTGCCAACATTCTTCATCAAGAATATGAGCAATATGGAATTATTGACAATGGAAAAGGTGGGAATGTTGTTCTCTTATCTAAATACAGTGCATTCAGAAAGTATTCAGACCCCTTCCTTTTTTCCACATTTTGTTACGTTACAGCCTTATTCTAAAATGGATTACATTTATTTTTTCCCTCATCAACCTACACACAATACCCCATAATGACAAAGCGAAAACAGGTTTTTAGACATTTTTGCAAATTTATTAAATATAAACAACAGAAATACCTTATTTACATAAGTATTCAGACCCTCTGCTATGAGACTCGAAATTGAGCTCAGGTGCATCCTGTTTCCATTCATCATCCTTGAGATGTTTCTACAACTTGATTGTTGTCCACCTGTGGTAAATTCAATTGATTGGACATGATTTGGAAAGGCACACACCTGTCTATATAAGGTCCCACAGTTGACAGTGCATATCCGAGCAAAAACCAAGCCATGAGGTCGAAGGAACTATCGGTAGAGCTCCAAGAGAGGATTGTGTCGAGGCACAGATCTGGGGAAAGGTACCAAAAAATGTCTGCAGCATTGAAGGTCCCCAAGAACACAGTGGCCTCCATCATTCTTAAATGGAAGAAGTTTGAAACCACCAAGACTCTTCCTAGAGCTAGCCGCCCGGCCAAACTGAGCAATCGGGGGAGAAGGGCCTTGGTCAACGAGGTGGCCAAGAACCCGATGGTCACTCTGACAGAGCTCCAGAGTTTCTCTCTGGAGAACCTTCCAGAAGCCCAACCATCTCTGCAGCACTCCACCAATCAGGCCTTTATGGTAGAGTGGCCAGATGGAAGCCACTCCTCAGTAAAAGGCACATGACAGCCCGCTTGGAGTTTACCAAAAGGCGCGTAAAGGACTCTCAGACCATGAGAAACAAGATTCTCTGGTCTGATGAAACCAAGATGGATCTCTTTGGCCTGAATGCCAAGCGTCACGTCTGGAGGAAACCTGGCACCATCCCTATGGTGAAGCATGGTGGTGGCAGCATCATGCTGTGGGGATGTTTTTCAGCGACAGGGACTGGGAGACTAGTCAGGATCAAGGGAAAGATTAACGGAGAAAAGTACAGAGAGATCCTTGAGGAAAACCTGCTCCAGAGTGCTCAGGTTCACCTTCCAACAGTACAACGACCCTAAGCACACAGCCAAGACAACGCAGGAGTGGCTTCGGGAAAAGTCTCTGAATGTCCTTGAGTAGCCCAGCCAGAGCCCGGACTTGAACCTGATCGAACATCTCTGGAGAGACCTGAAAATAGCTGTGCAGCGACGCTCCCCATCCAACCTGACAGAGCTTGAGAGGATCTGCAGAGAAGAATGGGAGAATCTCCCCAAATACAGGTGTGCCAAGCTTGTAGCGTCATACCCAAGAAGACTCAAGGCTGTAATCGCTGTCAAAGGTGTTCAACAAAGTACTGAGTAAAGGGTCTGAATACTTATGTGAATGCATATATATGTTTTTTATTTGTAATACATTTGAAAAACATTCTAAAAACCTGTTTTCACTTTGTCATTATGGGGTATTGTGTGTAGACTGATGAGGAAAATGTAAACAATTTAATCCATTTTAGAATAGTGCTGTAACATAACAAAATGTGGAAAAAGTGAAGGGGTCTGAATACTTTCCGAATGCACTGTAATTGCTACATTTACTGTCAATATAGTATAACAAATAGTTTTCCAGATTGCATTTCAGCCCCAAAAAATTTTAATATGCGATGTGAATATTGGGTCGCAACTGCGACAACCTGGTTAAATTTGGGTCCCGAGGAAAGACCAGTTGAGAACCACTGTGCTAGACCATCTAACCCCTTTTTCTCTACCTTGTCGTTGTAATGACAGGCATCCTCCTCATGATGGCGCTGTGCGACGAGGTCCACGTTTATGAGTACATCCCCTCGCTGCGGCAGACAGACCTGTGCCACTATCACGAGCGCTACTACGACGCAGCCTGCACCCTGGGGGCGTACCACCCTCTGCTTTACGAGAAGAGCCTGGTGCAGCGCATCAACACGGGCCCCGAGCGAGACCTGAAGAGGAAGGGCCGCGTCACACTCCCTGGCTTCAGCACCGTCAACTGTGACCTCTGAACTATCAACTCATGAACTCTGACCCTTAGAAGAAGCCACATGTGGAACCACCACGACCCCACAGGACTAAGGGAAAACGGTGCAATAATAACCCTCTGGACTCTGACCTCTGGGGGAACCTGGAGGGAAACACTTAGAACAGTGGAGAACCCAAGCCATAGCCCCTCTGTGTGGGATGGGATCAAACCAGAGGGTGCAGGTCTAGTCTAACTACATTTATGTCAGGACTTTTCAACAGATCCCAGACGGAGAGAAACCCAGCCTTCCTCAGAGGATAATGGACCCAAGACGGCCTGATGTGACTGTATCTCCCGATCTCTGCCATTGCTGAGCCGGAAGAGAGGAGGAGAGCTGTATAGTGTAGCAATAGATTAGTGTTATTAGATACTTTTTTTTATAAATATCTGGTTGTGTTTTGCTGTTGTGAAACGTTGTGTTTTTCTATAGTTCTGGTTGCTCTTCTTCCTTAAAAGGACTTAAAGGACAGTCCACAGTTTTTAAATGGTGGGTGTTTTGTGTTTTTTTAATGGCTCTCATGGGGTGGTAAATTAATGTTTGAGAAAATGAGCAGTGGTCTGCACGGAATGTCTCAAACACGTCCATACCAAACACACACTTTTGAACACGTACAAACTCAGCATACACCAGCCACACACTCCCGACAACACGTAACAAAAACTTGAAGTTTAATTCAAAATGTACCTCAGTACAACTTCAATGACAATACAAGACACATGCTCATACATACAGGTACATGTATCTCAATACAGACACGCTGGGACTACACCATACACTCCTCACCTCAGTATTACCTAACCAAGATGGTACATTGTTTTTTATCACATTTTTCTGTGTTCAAATGTCCTCTTCTAGTCTTATTTTAAAGTCTTATTTCGTGGTGTTGTTTTCATCAGGGTTTAGATTGCTGTTGCTGCTGCTGCGCTTTATGCCCAATCACTCTCTGCTCTTCTCTTCTCCTCTCACAAGCTGTACCGGACCACTTGCCAACTCATGAAGAGATTGTCACACTCCCACTTAGCTCTTTAAGACTGGCTGTCTGGCTGCCACTTCAAGGGCATGCACAGCTCTGTGTCTGGCGGGTAGTTAGGTACCAAACCCTGGAAAACCCTTTGGTTGCCCATTCCTGGGCCTAATCCAATACAATTACGTCATTTTAAAGATTTGTGAACACCAAAGGATGCGAGGCTAGGGGATAGGAGCTAGGCGGTAAGAAGGGGACTCACAAAGCATTCTTACAACAGCTGTAACCCTGTGCCTAGTAGCCAACCGAACACTGGGTTGCCTTTCAAAACACCCAAAGACTGATCATACTGTATGCTATCCATTTAACTGCAGTGTCATTGTTGTGTTTGTATTGCTGATTTAATCTTTTAATAGTAAAGATTTAAAGAAGGCTGCTAGTCACCTCATAGTGTTGCTCAAACCGTCCAGTGTTCTGTTAGTGTAGTGGCAGGCTGGGGTAGGAGAGGTCACTAGTCAAACTCCCTTACTTTCCAGTGTCCACCCCATGCCAAAAGGGAATTGAACATCTCTTTAAAAGCAGCTGTAACTACTACGATGATTGACCTGTCTCTTGAAATGAATGTAACCACACCACACCACACCTCCCACTGTCAAGGCCAAACCTCTCCCTAGGACAGTTCTATCTACGAGCACACTACAGATGTAGGATCTTAATTTGAGCCAGTTTGTTACAGTAGGAAGATAATCCTGTACAACAGGAAATTTGAATTTATTATGTGGATTATAGTAAATTGACTTTTTTTGTAGGGGTTGATACATTTTTCGTAAGGGAAAATCAAGTCTGAAATGTAAAAGTGAAAATTACAAACTTCAGAAGCCTTTTTAAACCTCAAATACACTACAAGTTTTAAATGTCCTGCATTTCAGGACAGTTCTCCTTCAACAGGGTGATCAAATTAAGATCCTACATCTGTACCCGGAATATGTGCCATAGTTAGTCAAGTGAATAAGGGTTTCAGTCTGCAGGGTTCAGTAGCTGGACTGCCTCCCAGGCACGTCATGCTGATTATGGTTTGTGGCATTCAGCAGAGCAGAGCATGGTCTAGTTATAACTTAAGCCTACCGTTCCCTATGTCTTTACCTTTCTCATTTTGACTGAATCCTCCAATATTGTTCTGAAAGTACTATTTTGCCTGGGCTTGCTGCAGGCTGCCACGGTGCGCTACCAGAGACCTTTTCTTATCATGGCAGGGATTTGAAGCAGTAATATCTCCAGACTCACTCTGTGTCCGGTTTTAGTGGCTTTCTTGTTTACACTGACTCTGTGCCAGACCTACCTGCAGTGTGTTTCAGATAGCTATCTCGTGTGTGTGTGTGTGTAAAGTCGAGGAGAGGGGGATCACTCATAGAGATCCTATAGAGCATCCTATATCGCTCTATATTCTATGGGATCACTATCTGGCCATGCTAGAATGGACAGCGGAGGCTCAGTTATTTCCAACGCAAATCCGCGTACAACTACTAAGCCCCACCTTTATCCCAAGCTGACCCTCCTATAAGACCAAACCGATCATGCACTTGTTGTCCATCAGATTTGCCATTATGGACACTATAGTCCTTTCTTTAATGGCCAGATGGTGACCATTCCCTGGGCAGGGACAACTGGGAGGGGCTGACATTGGCAGCCATAGTGACAGAATACAAAGAAGATATTTGTGTATTCGTGCATTTGTTATTTTGGAAAGTGTTGCTGTGCCCTTGCTCCAGGAACAGTGCTTAACCAGGGTTGCAGAAACAAATTGATCCAGTCGTAAACATGGCAGTCAAACGCTGCTTGGAATAAACAGAGGCATCTGCTGAAGAGATTGTTGTTATATTCAGTTGATAGAGGAGTGAAGAGAGACTGAACAGGAATACCATTTAGAGATGGGAAGGCTATGTCTGTGTAAGGGGGACGCCGATGGCTCTTTGCCTTATACAGTGTGAATGTCTAGCAGATACTTGAGGTCAGCTTGATTGAGCTTCCTCTGATCAATGACATAGTGTTAACAGTGCAAACCCTGCCCAACCGGTGTGACAGACCATTAGCTTGGGGAGCCAACGTAATTATTTTAGGGTTTAGGTAAGTTTACTCAGCACGCAAGCATGGTTCCGAATAACTGTTACACCGGCACGCCAGGCAAGCAAAATATTTTGAGCCACATCTGCTATCTCATTAACACATGGCTTGAAGGAGCCAGACACACCGCTGCATCTAATGATTTCCCAAGGCCAACCTCTCACTGAGAGCTCTAACAGGGAACAGAGGGGGGCTATAATGAAACTGTCTGGAATAGTCTCGACTCGCACGACTATCATAAGTATCATCTCTGATTCATCTCCATGCATTATTATTGAAGTGTTCAAATCATTACATGTAATTGTTACGCTTGTGATTGTAACACATTGACAGTGCAAACAAATAATAAAAATAATAACTTTGTTTATATTCCGATGCACAGAGCATGCAAATCTATCCGGAGCAGGGCTAAGAGTCTTAAACTGTCCATGTATGTGTACTTGTTTATTTGGATCCCAATTAGCGTTTGCAGAAGCAGCAGCTACTCTTCCTGGGGTCCACAAAAAAACACAAAACATATGACAAGTAACAAAACACTGATAGACAAGGACAGTCACACAAATTTTAATTACAACGATATACAAACAGTACAACAAAAAAAGAATACAAACAATACAACAAAAATATTGTCTGTACTGTGCTTTACTCTGTACTTTACTGTAAGAAAAACAACAGCATTAGAGCTCCAAGACACGTAAAAAAGACCATGCTGGAGAAATATACGATTTTTCTACCTGCGCTGTGCAAATCTCTAAGTGTATATTGTGTGCGTAGGGACATTCCATCCAGCTGGAAACGAGAGCAGCTATTATTAGTTCCGTAGAAGCACTTCTTGATCAAATGCAATGCCTTTGGCAACGGCAGTTGAATCTTGATACTGTGCCATTTTGTATTTTTGCTGGTGCATGTGGGTTAGTGGGTGGTTGGAGGGGGGTGTATGTTTGTCTTATAGCAGGTATTTTTAAGGTGCTATATGTTCCCTTCAGGGGGGTGTTACAGGATAAAGATGACCAATGTCTCTTTATGGTCCATAGAGAATGATAGAGAATGCTTCTTTGTATCTATCCCATTATGGCTTCTGTGAGCACACGGGCGGTGCCATTGAGGCCATCTCCATTTTGAAGTAGTCAATTTTCTATTTCTACTACTTCTATGAGTTGGCAAACAAACCTGAAAGTGTGCAAACTGGCACCTGGAGTGTGTTGTTTGAACAGGTATAAAGCCAAGGTTAGCGATTTTACTGCCACCTGCAGTTATGGAATGTTTGCTCACGAGTATAATTAATTGGCTGTTTGATGCCTCCTGATGACCTGGATGGAATTATGTGATCTTCCTTAACCCATAGAATGTACCATCCAGTTGACTACTTAAAAATGGGATAAGTTCTCAATGGTGCTGCCCATGCTAAAATAGACTTTTGGGTACTAGAATCCTGTTATCATTCTCTATGGAATGGATGGACATGCCAGGTGCATTGTGTTCAGCACAGAAAAACAAAGAGAAAATAGTTAGTTTTTGGAGGTCACTGCTTAACTTGATCCCTCCTCTACAGTTGCTCTGTACTCTCTTCGTCTGTCACTTTAATTTTTTTAACTACGTTTTTCCTTTTGATTTGTCATTGCAGGTTTCTTTATTAAATTTGAATAGGTATTTAAGTTGACTGTTTGTATAAAATTAAATTGTTGTTAATTTATTGTTCTATTTTTACCATGTAAATAAAGGCATTTGATGTGTACAAAAGATCTCTCCAGAGTAATAAATCCTTAGGTCGGGATTCAATCTGTGGAGCGCTGTTGGCAATGCGCCATTTATACGTAATTTCCGATTGAGCCGACGTGCAGCGTTAACGTGAATGCAATCGGGAACATTGCCTTTCAAAGCTATATTGTTGACATCCCAACCTTAGATTACCAACAAGACACACACACACACACGCACACATACACACAATACCCCCCCCCCCCCCCCCCCCCCCCCCCCTCACTGACTCACCTGTTTGTTCATGAGGATGTAGATGAGAGGGTTGATGACTGTGCTGCTCTTGGCCAGGAGCGAGGGCACCACGGCGGCCACGGGGGTGATGATGCCGGGCCGGCCAAACGTCGCCATCATGGCCACCACGCCGTAGGGCATCCAGCACAATATGTAGCACACCACTGTGGTCAGCACCATGAACAGGATGTGGTACTCTCTCCGCCGGGCCGCTGTCCTACGTATCTTACCCACCTAGAGACAGGCGAGATGAAAGGAGAGAGTGAGTGAGCGGAGAGGAGAAGAGGAGAGGGGAGGAGACAGTATGTTTCATCACCCCAGGGAGAGAATATAATAGTCCTTTATCCAAACAGAAATGTACCTGTTTGCTGTATTTATATTCTCAACCCCTTTACACCACACACACACATATTCGAGAGGGAATAGTGTCTCTCTCTCTCTCTCTCTCATCCCTGCAGTGTAGGTTCATTGTTCTGCCTGAGGGCTTCTCTCCAAACCCACAGAGAGCCAGTGATAATCAGTCCATCCGTTTTGTGCCGCTAACCTCCCATTTCAGCCATGAGACGACTGATGCTCCATTCATCTCCCCCACCCTCCCTGTCAGCCCAAATAACGAAGGGGACAGCAGAGAGAGGGACAGAAAGAGATTCCATACTCCTCCCTCCATTCTAGAGGACTAAGGCACTGACCCTCTCTCTCCATCCTGTTGCGCCAACCCTTGAACTCTGTGTCTTAACCTTTTGACCTAATGCCTAAGGTATTCTGGTCGCTCAGGCAAGGTTTAATTATCACATGTATCTGTGACTTGAGTCGCATCTGCTGAATTTGGATTTCTCGTTGCCCTGACCTGGACCTTCTAGCACGCTTAAATTTAAGTGCGCTATCGGGACCACTCACTAATCGTACTTGTCTGAATTGCTGAATTACTGTGGGGATCTGAGGGGTTGGGCACTGGGGCTGTCGTCATAAGACTGTCCCAATTCGGTCGTAAAAACTTGCCTGGCTACCCATTCACATCGCTCCGGTCAAACGCCACGCGCACTAATGTTTCTTCTCCACGACGAGTCTGGATTTGCTCTCCTCCCAGACTTTGAGAATGCGAACACATTCTAACCATTCTAAATGGTCCCAGAAACCGATGGGTTGGGCCAACACGAATCATGAGTCCCATAGGGCGGCGCACAATTGGCCCAGCGTTGCCGGGGTAGGCCGTCATTGTAAATAAGAATTTGTTCTTAACTGACTTGCCTAGTTAAATAAACAATAAAATAAACACTGAAGGAGGCCAAAACGTATGCTATCCTGATGCATTAAAAATAATGAAGTAAGCTTTATGCAACATCTTTTTGGGTGCGGACCCATCACAATTTATTGCTTATCTGGATTCACATGTTTTACGCACCAACCAAACTTTTGGGAGTGTGCAATGGTCCTCTTTTGATTATATATCTGAGGGGTGAACATTTTGGAGCAGTCACTTAGCGTGAAAGAGATTTAACCACCTTCTCAATGTAGTGGACTGAGAAAGGTCCTAAACCAAACTCATGTCGACTAAGCACACTGGCTGGGGCAATATTTACACACCGTAGCAGCTTCACTTGAAAATTAGTTTTGGCAGCATGAAACCCCCCAGAGATTTGTTATTGGAAGGTCCTGAACTCAAGCCAAACTGCTAATTTGATTGTAAATGTAGAAACACAAAGTAATGGCGGATAAAATGACAAGGTTGAAACCACCTTCTCCAGACTCACTGGGTGTTCTAGGGGGCTGATCTTGGAGTTAATTCACCACCCAACACAACATGTATGTGCAGATGTATGGAGTACATCTTGATTAAAACACAATAAGGGTTTAGTTAAGTTTTGATCAGAGTGCTGATATTGATCTCTACAGGGAGCCAGATTCAATTCAATTTGGAGGGCTCTCCAACTTGTTAACACACATACACACACACACACACTCACCTCTACCCCACCACACCCCCCCCTACCCACACCTGTTTGACGGCCCACAGCAGCCGACAGTAGCAGTAGACCATGATGACGATGGGCAGACCCAGGCAGAAGATGAACAGACAGATGATATAGGCGTGGGACTGAGCCGTCCTCAGGGTCCATGACACAGAGCAACTGGTGCCGGCGCCCTCCAAGTCGTAGCTACTCCAGCCCAGCAGGGGGGGCACCGTCCAGATTATGGAGTAGAGCCAGGAGCCCCCCACAGCCAGCAGGGGCTTGCGGTAGTCAGGACCACGCTTGTTGTACACGGTCAGGGTGCTGTAGCGGTCGTAGGACAGGACCACCAGGGAGATCAACGACACGATACCTGGGGAGAGGCAGGCATATTATTAAAATGACAACATCTAACCTTTCTGTTATTTGCATGCAATGTAGAAATGTTTCTGTCTATCATTATGTTAAATGCCTTGTTGATGATGTCATAAATGACGCTTTGGCGAGTTTACAATATGATGATGTCATGAAGACACTGGTGATGGGCATCAGCCAATTAAAATCGTGCTAGAATGCTACATTGTACAGTGGTGTAAGGTACTTAAGTAAAAATACTTTGAAGTACTACTTAAGTAGTTTTTTGGGGTATCTGTACTTTACTTCACTACAGTCCTACTTTTTACTCCATACATTTTTCCTGACACCCAAAAGTACATGTTATATTTTGAATGCTTAGCAGGACTGGAAAATGGTCCAATTCACACACTTATCAAGAGAACATACCTAGTCATCCCTACTGCCTCTGATCTGGCGGACTCACTAAACACACACATGCTTCATTTGTAAATGATGTCTGAGTGTTGGAGTGTGCCCCTGGCTATCCGTAAATTTAAAAAACTTGTGTCGTCTGGTTTGCTTAATATGAGCAATTTGAAATGATTTATACTTTTACTTTTGATACTTAAGTATATTTTCGGAAAGTATTCAGACCCCTTGACTTTTTCCACATTATGTTACGTTACAGCCTTATACGAAAATTGATTTACAATCTACACACAATACCCCATACTGATAAAGCAAAAACTGGATGATATACATTTTTGCACATTTATTTAAAAAAAAATCACTGACATATGACATTTACATAAGTATACAGACCCTTTACTCAGTACTTTGTTGAAGCACCTTTGGCAGCGATTACAACCTTGAGTCTTCTTGGGTATGATGCTACAAGCTTGGCACACCTGTATTTGGGGAGTTTCTCACATTCTTCTCTGCAGATCTTCTCAAGCTGTCTCAGGTTGGATGGGGAGCATCGCTGCACAGCTGTTTTCAGGTCTCTCCAGAGATGTTCGATCGGGTTCAAGTCCGGGTTCACCTCCCTGACCAAGGTCCTTCTCCCGATTGCGCAGTTTGGCCGTGCGGCCAGCTCTAGGGAGAGTCTTGGTGGTTGCAAACTTCTTCCATTTAAGAATGATGGAGGCCACTGTGTTCTTGGCGACCTTAAATGCTGCAGCAATTTTTTGGTACCCTTCCCTAGACCTGTGCCGACACAATCCTGTCTCTGAGCTCTACGGACAATTCCTTCGACCTCATGGCTTGGTTCTTGCTCTGACATGCACTGTCAACTGTGGGACCTTATCTAGACAGGTGTGTGCCTTTCCAAATCATGTCCAGTCAATTGAATTTACCACAGGTGGACTCCAATCAAGGATGATCAATGGACACAGGATGCACCTGAGCTCAATTTTGAGTCTCATAGTAAAAGGTCTGAATACTTATGGAAATAAGGTATTTATGTTTTTATTTTTAATACATTTGAAAAAAATCTAAAGACCTGCTTTTTCTTTGTCATTATCGGGTATTGTGTGTTGAGGAAAAAAAATTAATGTAATCTATTTCTGAATAATGCTGTAACGTAACAAAATGCGCTGTATATTTAAAACCAAATACTTTTAGACTTTTACTCTAGTATTTTACTTAGTGACTTTCACTTTTACTTGAGTCCTTTTCTACGAAGGACTTTCTTTTTTTGTTGTGACTTTTTCAACCACTCGCATTGTAGCTGGTCCTATCCGATAACCTGGTAGGCTACACGTTAGCCCTACACTAACCTCACCAGCTGACAGTGATTATTTCCTGTAACAAATTCCTCATCAGCCTATCAAAGATCTTAGACATTATATCCACCAACCAATGGCATTTCTTAAAATAGGTTTATCGTACACTGTAAAAATTAAAAAAAGACGAAGAACCTTATGGACTTGTCAAATAGCAGTCATGTACCATTATTGCAAGATTTGCATTTCTTCTGGGTGGCACACACTGCTAAAGAGGATGACTTAATATTGATAGTGCACTTCAACCATGGATTCGAATCCCCTCGTAGCAAGGTTTTTTGCTGAGGAAATAACTGTTCACTGCCGGTCCTTAATGCACGATTCAAAACGCATATGTGACAAAGTGAATGATGATAATAATAGTAATAATAATAATAATAATAATAATAAGGCATATAAAACATTGTGCATGTAAGTGTAGCCTACATAAGAAATTAATTGGTGTTTTGGTCTAAAAGTAACGTTAAACTATGCTATTATATTTGGTATGTTAGGCCTATGTAGAATACTAATTAATCATTAAGGGATCTTGCGAGGCATTGATTCAGCTTTGATCTAAACTTTATTAAATATTAAACAAGCCCCATTCTGAGAAGTGGCGAACCATGGCTCTGGTGCGCTCCGGCAGATCTACACCCCTGTATAGAAGTATCCTATGCGATGGTCTGCAAGAGGGACTCCAAGAAGCTCCTCATTAAATGGATTTGTAAGGTTTTGGCTGCTGTCACATCCAACTACGTTAACATTTGTAATTGGCTTATACAGATTTTGTTACAGGAAATAATCACATCCAGTTGGTGTTGTTAGCATAGAGCTAAATATGCCAGGTTATCTGATGGGAAAAGCTGACACGTAGCGTTCTATCACGTGCAGTTACATAAACAATTTTAATTGGTTGATACGGATTTTGAGAGGTAGAAAGAGCATGGCCCCGAAGAGTTTAAAATGTGATGATGTCATAAAGACATTCAGGTCATTTTAGAATGTGATGATGCCATAAAGACACATGGTTTAGAATCTAATTATGTCATAAAGACACTTGGGTGGTTTTAGAATGTGATTATGTCATAGAGACATGATGAGTTTAGAATGTGATGTCGTCTCAGGTCGTTTTAGAATGTGATGATGTCATAAAGACACAGGTGAGATTAACCTGTGGTTACCTACAGTGGGGAAAAAAAGTATTTAGTCAGCCACCAATTGTGCAAGTTCTCCCACTTAAAAAGATGAGAGAGGCCTGTAATTTTCATCATAGGTACACGTCAACTATGACAGACAAAATGAGGAAAGAAAATCCAGAAAATCACATTGTAGGATTTTTAATGAATTTATTTGCAAATTATGGTGGAAAATAAGTATTTGGTCAATAACAAAAGTTTCTCAATACTTTCTTATATACACTTTGTTGGCAATGACACAGGTCAAACGTTTTCTGTAAGTCTTCACAAGGTTTTCACACACTGTTGCTGGTATTTTGGCCCATTCCTCCATGCAGATCTCTGTCTTGTTTTGTATGCTTTGTACAAAATAATAAAATGCAGGACGACAGGATATTTATAAACGTAGCTCTTTATTAACTAGCTATAACTGGCATGTCCATGTGTCTCTGGCCATGATCATCTTTAGAATGACCTCACCACCTGGGTGGTCTTAACCAATCATAGCACAGTATGATATGACAGTATAATGCATCCAATTACAATTCAGTATGCTGACACATATGAATATTACATCCCCCTTCTTTAAAAAAAAGAAAAAATATGTAGAACAATAAAGCGTTTCTTTTGAATATATGCTCTGTAGTTTGAACTCGAGGTAAGTAACCATTTACACTGCACCAACTGCATCAACATAACAGACTCTGAAACAATGATTCAGCATACTGTTACTTTTAGAACAAATATTTCTCAGCAACTCAGCTTTTCACTGTAGCAATGACATCTCAACATATCCAACAAATACAATACCAAAGCATTTCAAGTTAACTTTCAATAACAAGTTTACAGTCTGGAAACTCTTTTAGGGCAGCGATCCGCCTACACCCTTTGACATTTCACAGGTCTAGGACAGCTCTAGGCTTGACCTCTCTTCCTGACCTTGTGTGATATGAAGCTGAGCATGCTTCTGTGTCAGTCAACAGTTCTTGTGGTGTTGCAGGTAAGTATGGTGTATGTTGTGTTGTGTCTGTGTTCATCCCGTTCTCTTTCAGGGGAACAGTTCATCTCGTCAGTGTGTTGTTCTTTTGTGTTCAGTAGGTGACGACGATTGCGGCGGTACACCGCTCCTTCTGCGGTGCGAACGTGATATGAACGTTCAGTGTCAGCTGGTTGGATGACGACTGCTGGCTTCCAGTAGCCATGATCCTGGATTCTAACTGACTCTCCGTCGTTCAGTGGTGGCAGTGGTCTGGCTGACCTGTCGTAGTATCGCTTTTGCTGTTGTTGCCTCTGTGCACGTTTTGCAAGCATTTCCTTGTAGCTGACGACCTCAGGTTGCAGCTGCTGGTTGGTGCTGGGAAGGATTGAGCGAAGTCTGCGGCTCATCAACAGCTGGGCTGGTGATTTGAAGTTGTCAACTGGAGTGTTGCGGTATTCAAGGAGACTGAGGTAGGGGTCTCTCTTGTCTGCTTTTGCTTTGTCCATGAGTGATTTAGCGATCTGCACAGATTTTTCAGCAAGGCCATTACTTTGAGGGTAATGTGGGCTTGTGGTGACGTGTGTGAACTCCCATGCTTTTGTGAAGGATTCAAACTCATTTGATTTGTAACAGGGCCCATTGTCAGATATTAAAGTATCTACAATGCCATGCCTGGCAAAGGCTGCTTTCAGCTTGTGTATCACAGCTGCAGATGTGGTGCTGTGAAGCTTGTCGAGTTCGAAGTACCTGCTGTGGTAGTCCACTGTTATAATGTAGTCCTCGTTGTTCCACATGAACAGATCGGTTGCCACGACCTGCCAGGGTCGGTCTGGGATACGGTGAGGTAACATTGGCTCTTTGGTGTTCGAGGGGCGTCGTTCAAGACAGGTGGGGCATTTACCAACCATGTCCTCTATTTGTTTGCACATTCCGGGCCAAAACAAAATGTCCCGTGCTCTCTGTTTGCACTTTTCCATGCCCATGTGTCCAGCATGGATCTTTGTCAAAATCTCTTCTCTGAGACTGGTAAGAATGATGATTTTCTCTCCTTTGAAAATGATTCCGTTGATCTGTGATAGTTCGTCACGATGGTTCCAGAACTCTGAGACGCTCTGAGGGCATTTTCTCCGGTTTCTGCTCGGATCTCCTTCAGTTTTGTGTCACTAACTGGTAAGTTGCTGTACACAGTGTGCACCTGCATGTCCATGCCTTCACTGAGGCTGCTGTCCTTGTAGGTAAGAAACTTCCTGGAGAGTGTGTCTGCGACAGGGATGTCTTTGCCTGGACGGTGAGTGATTGTGAAGTCGTATTTTTGTAGTTGAAGGATTATTCTCTGTAGCCTTGGCGGGGCTGCGGCTAACGGTTTCCTCATGATTGACTCGAGGGGCTTGTGGTCTGTTTCCACAATGACTTGTCGTCCATAGACATACTGATGGAAACGCTTACATCCGAACAGAATGGCATACAGCTCCTTTTCGATTTGAGCGTAGTTGATTTCACAGTCTGTGAGAGATTTGGAAGCGTAGCCGATGGGTTTTCCTTCTTGCAGTAGCACTGCCCCTAGTCCATACTTCGACGCGTCCACCTGGAGTCTGAGCTCTTTGTTGGGGTCGTAGTAGGCAAGGATTGGTCCTGGTTCTCTCGTGATCAAGTCTTTCACTTTCTGGAAAGCGATGTCGTGTTGGTTGTCCCAGAGGAACTCACTGGACTGCTTTAGCAGCTGACGCAGGGGTGCATTAGCATTGGAGAGGCTGGGTGCGAACTTGGCTAAGTAGTTGACCATGCCAAGCACTGTTTCCAGCTCTGCGCGGTTCTTTGGTGGCTCCATTTCCTTTATGGCTGAGATCTTCTGTGGATCTGGCTTGATTCCATTCGCTGTGAGAAGATGTCCGAAGTAGCTGACCTCTGTAGCGCCGACTGTGCTCTTCTCGGGGTTGAGCCGGACTCCTCTCTCACGGGACCTTTGCAGCATCGCACTGAGGTTTCTGTCGTGTTCCTCTTTGGTTCGACCATAGACAAGGATGTCATCCACAATTGCCACGACTCCGTCGAGGCCTTTGTACACCTCGTCGATCTTTCGCTGAAACTCGTCTTGGGCTGAGATAATCCCAAAAGGCAGGCGACGGAACCTGTAGCGTCCAAATGGTGTGTTGAACGTTGTGAGCTTAGATGACTCTTCTGTGAGCTTGATAGCCCAGTAGCCTGATCTGGCGTCCATGACACTGAAGTAGCGTGCGCCCGCTAGCTTGTGTGTGATGCCATCTAGCGTCGGTAAGGGGTAATGGGGGCGTTTGATAGCTTTGTTCAAGTCTCTTGGGTCGAGACATACTCTGAGCTTGCCTGTGCGTGGTTTCTCCACCACCACTAACGCGTTGACCCAATCCGTCGGTTCTGTAACCTTGGTGACGATGTCAGATTGCTCCATGTTCTCCAACTCTTTCTTCAGACGGGCGCGGAGAGCAAGTGGAATCTTTCTCGGTGGGTAGACCACAGGGGTTGCGTCTGGGTCAAGGTGAATGGTACATTCTCCTGGGAATAGTCCTATTCCTGTAAAAACATCAGCAAACTCCTCCATGACATTCTCTATCTCTACTGGTGCTGTCACTGATAAAACTAGCTTGATAAGGTCCATGTCTAAACATGCTTTAAGACCTAGCACTGCAGGTGCTCGAGTGTCAACAACGTAAAAGTCCAACATCATGTCCCTTTCCTTGTATTTGCATTTGAGAGTGCATGTGCCTTTTACTGGGAGCTGTTCACCACCATAACCAGTCAGTCTGCGCGTGGTGGGCTGTAGCTCACACTCAGATGTCAAGCTTCTGTACTTACTCAGAGAATAATGTTTACTTGTGCACCAGTGTCTAGTTTGAATTTTAGCTCTGTGCCTTGTCTTCCTATCTCAATGTCAGCAAAGGCTTGCTCTGTCTCTGATATCTGACTTTTCTGTGTCACTGAATCAATAAACAGTTCATCAGCATTTGACTCTTTGATTGACATTTCATCTTCACTCACTGTATGTACTGTTTTTCCACGGTAAACTCTGCACACTTTTGCAAAGTGATTCCATTTTCCACATTTAGTACACTGTTTGCCTTTAGCTGGGCAATTCCCCTGTTCGCCATGCACTTTGTATCCACAATATCCACATGTTTTGGGGCGTTTGGAGTCTGTGTCGCTCTGTTTTGGAGTTCTGTCTGTCTCCGCTCTGAAACATGCTTTCTGAGCACCTGAGTTGTGCTTTGATGTCTGCCTGACTGCGTGCACTGCTTGTTCACGTGATGCGCTCGTGCTGCCGCCTGAAATGGTTTTCATCTGAACCTGTGCTAGCTTGTGAGATCTGGCTATGTCGATAGCTTTGTCCAGCGTTAACTCTGATCCAACATTCAAAAGTTTCTCTCTCACTCGCGGTGAGTGTATTCCAAATACAATACGGTCCCTGACCATCTCATCCTTGTTTGCATAATCACAGTCTTTCACAAGCAGACGCAGCTCAGTGACAAACTGTTCAAACGATTCACTAGCGCCTTGTACTTTCTCATGGAATTTGTACCTAGCGAAAATTGTATTGGTCTTTGGCACAACATATGCTTCAAAACGATCGTAGTATGTTTTCAGTACCTTTGATTCAGCCTCGGTAAGTGTCCATGTGTTGTAAATGTCTCTCCCGATACAGAGGAGCAGGTAGCTGCACTTTTCCTCTTCTCCTCTTTCCTTCAGAGGACCTGTGAACATCAGGTCCACATGCTGTTTGAATTTACGCCATGCATCGGGTAGATTTGTAGACCCCCAATCCATTCGAGGTGAAGGAACTCCAGCAAAATCCATCTTTTAGTCCTTTTACTCTGACACCATGTCTTGTTTTGTATGCTTTGTACAAAATAATAAAATGCAGGACGACAGGATATTTATAAACGTAGCTCTTTATTAACTAGCTATAACTGGCATGTCCATGTGTCTCTGGCCATGATCATCTTTAGAATGACCTCACCACCTGGGTGGTCTTAACCAATCATAGCACGGTATGATATGACAGTATAATGCATCCAATTACAATTCAGTATGCTGACACATATGAATATTACAATCTCCTCTAGAGCAGTGATGTTTTGGGGCTGTCGCTGGGCAACACGGACTTTCAACTCCCTCCAAATATTTTCTATGGGGTTGAGATCTGGAGACTGGCTAGGCCACTCCAGGACCTTGAAATGCTTCTTACGAAGCCACTCCTTCGTTGCCCGGGCGGTGTGTTTGGGATCATTGTCATGCTGAAAGACCCAGCCACGTTTCGTCTTCAATGCCCTTGCTGATGGAAGGAGGTTTTCACTCAAAATCTCACGATACATGGCTCCATTCATTCTTTCCTTTACACGGATCAGTCGTCCTGGTCCCTTTGCAGAAAAACAGCCCCAAAGCATGATGTTTCCACCCCCATGCTTCACAATAGGTATGGTGTTCTTTGGATGCAACTCAGCATTCTTTGTCCTCCAAACACGACGAGTTGAGTTTTTACTAAAAAGTTATATTTTGGTTTCATCTGACCATATGACATTCTCCCAATCCTCTTCTGGATCATCCAAATGCACTCTAGCAAACTTCAGACGGGCCTGGACATGTACTGGCTTAAGCAGGGGGACACGTCTGGCACTGCAGGATTTGAGTCCCTGGCGGCGTAGTGTGTTACTGATGGTAGGCTTTGTTACTTTGGTCCCAGCTCTCTGCAGGTCATTCACTAGGTCCCCCCGTGTGGTTCTGGGATTTTTGCTCACCGTTCTTGTGATCATTTTGACCCCACGGGGTGAGATCTTGCGTGGAGCCCCAGATCGAGGGAGATTATCAGTGGTCTTGTATGTCTTCCATTTCCTAATAATTGCTCCCACAGTTGATTTCTTCAAACCAAGCTGCTTACCTATTGCAGATTCAGTCTTCCCAGCCTGGTGCAGGTCTACAATTGTGTTTCTGGTGTCCTTTGACAGCTCTTTGGTCTTGGCCATAGTGGAGTTTGGAGTGTGACTGTTTGAGGTTGTGGACAGGTGTCTTTTATACTGATAACAAGTTCAAACAGGTGCCATTAATACAGGTAATGAGTGGAGGACAGAGGAGCCTCTTAAAGAAGAAGTTACAGGTCTGTGAGAGCCAGACATCTTGCTTGTTTGTAGGTGACCAAATACTTATTTTCCACCATATTTTGCAAATAAATTAATTAAAAATCCTACAATGTGATTTTCTGGATTTTTTTTTCTCAATTTGTCTGTCATAGTTGACGTGTACCTATGATGAAAATTACAGGCCTCTCTCATCTTTTTAAGTGGGAGAACTTGAACAATTGGTGGCTGACTAAATACTTTTTTTCCCCACTGTAGGTTACCCCATTGGCTCACAGAAAATACTTGACCTTTTTCAAATGCAATTTTCTTGTTGTCTGCTTTTTTTTGTGAATTACAAAACTACATTTAAGAAATGTACAACATGTCTAAAGATTACTTTTCAACGTTGTCCGCTCCCGACATTCTCACTATTTAGAAAAATGTACAGTGGGGGAAAAAAGTATTTAGTCAGCCACCAATTGTGCAAGTTCTCCCACTTAAAAATATGTTAATATGGGTTTTATTTAAAAAAAAGTATACATAACCTCTAAAATATATGTAAACAGACCATAAATGTCTACAATTGTCTGAGTTGGCACATCTGAGAATAAACTTTGATGTTCTAAAAGCAGTGCAACAATGTTGCCTTTTTCCTCCGAAGACAAGTATGCCAAAAAGATGTCAAGGTTTTCTAGAATCTCTGCGTTACTCAACCGTCCAACAGGCACGGTTGAGCTTTCCTCATGCTCTTAAGGAAGACTATAGTCAACGGTGACAGCAGTGGCTACAGGCAGAACATCACTACCGGTTTCCACCGACTTCTCCGCCCGATCATAGCGGGTAAGGTATGGTTTCAACATGTTGACATGACACAATGACAGGAATAGGCTGCAAATGTACAACCGATACAGATTGGTTCGGTTTACCCGTCCGCTGGCAAACGCGACAGGATTTACAGTAAGCCACAACATCCTGTTTCAGACCAGGCCAGAAGAAGTTACGCAAGATACGGTCATGCGTCTTGTTAACCGCAAGATGGCCTGCCATACTACCATCATCAGCCAACCTCAGTATCTCTTGTCGAAGCGTGACTGGAAAGACAATTTGAGATACACTGGGCCAATCGTCTTGCCCAGAAGTGGCGCGAGAACGCCATTTCCTCATTAGAACACCATCTCTGTCAAAGTAACCCACACAAACGTCATCAAACTCCACTGGGCGTGTCTCAGCAAAAAGACACCCTCCAAAATGAAGGATTGGGCCCCCCAGTGTCTCGCAGTATGTTCACCGGCTGCTTATAAGCATTTACACACTGCAGAGACACGAACCCGTCCAAAAACCATACATATCTGATCCAAATTGAATTGCTCGAGAAGTATCTTTAAATCCTCAAGGTCCCTGACTTATTGAGAACCACACCACCGATCAAAAAGACATGCTTGTTCCCTTGAAAACTCAACATGGCTTTGTGATTCTGTCTTTCGTAATTTACAGAACTGTTGTCTGTATGCCTCTGTAAGCCCGAAGGATAGCAGCTTTAATAGACTTTGGGTTATTCTACCACTTTCTCCTTGTTTTCTGCTTCTCCTGTTTTCTCTGAAGGAATCACTTTCTTTCCTTTACCTAGTTTTGTTTCCCTGGTTTTTGTGAAGACCACCACCACTTTGACTTTGACTTTTGGTTGTCCACAGCTAACCAACTGGGCTATCAAACCTAGGATGTCTGCATGACTCAAGACCACATTAGCCCACCGAGCTAAAGCCTAGGCATTAGGTCAGGGAGCTAACACAAGTCTTCTGGTGTTCTAATTAACTTGTGTTGCCAATTGTGTACATTCATATCTGCATTTACCTTGTAATGTGTCCTTGAGACTTGTAAAGGAGCTATATGGATAAAATGTATGTTAACATTTTACTGTAGGTGTCCTTATTCATGCATTCATGAAGCCTTTATAACAGCTATATAACAAATTATAACATTTGTCATAAGCTGTCATAAATAGTTATGAGTAACGGCATAAGATTTTATGAAACTAGTTATAATGGGTGTTTTAGATAACTGTTCGTCCTGTTGGCATATGCTCTAATGTCAACTGTTCTTACATGCTACATATGTGTCTACCAGATGTTATAATAGGATGTTATATCATTTACCAAACTCTGTGCCACATTATTACATTGAATGGAATGATGGGCATCATAAGCATGTCATATGCCGTTACAGAGTGTGCACAGATACCTTAAGTAAAGTGAGGTGTTATAAAACAGCTTAATACCACAGTTGAGAGTATCACAAAACCATTTAGGATCTCCAAGAAACATGGGCAAATGGGAGCAGAGATGTATTTAGGATTATTTTTTATTTTTTTGACAATGAGACAATAAACTGCTCTGGGGCACAACAGGATTTGTGACAGCTGTTAAAAAAAGAAGATGTGCAGGCTACAGTAACAATGACAGCTGTATTATAAAAAATTGGTAGTTAGTCAGGTAACGTTAGCTAGGTCGATTTTGACAGTATTGCCACTAGCTAGCAAGCCATTCATTCACCTGTAGGGCCACGACATGAGCACGAGCAGTCCCACTGTGCCCCCATCTATGCATAGCTAGCTAACTAGGTAGAGCTAGTGCTAGCAGTTAGCTAACTAACTAGCTTGCTAGCTAAAGGAGGAATTCCAGATTATAAAGCTGACTTTGCAGCACATCACACAATACATTCTCCTTCACATACAATTTAAACACAATTGCTTTTTCATCTTAATACACCTTGTTTAACTCAATGTAACTAACTTTATGTTATGACACCAATACAGGGGCCACAGATCTGGGTGCCTTGTGAGAATTTGTCGGCGAATGGGTAACCCACCTCTACCATCCGTCCTTTTGGCCAACGTGCAATCATTGGAGAATAAACTGGATGAGGTCCGTTCGAGACTATCCTACCAACAGGACATTAAAAGCTGTAATATCTTATGTTTCACTGAGTCATGGCTGAGCGACAACATGGATAATATACAGTTGGCTGGGTTTTCCTTGTTTTGGCAAGACAGAACAGCTACCTCCGTAAGACAAGGGGTGGTGGTCTGTGTCTATTTGTCAATAACAGTTGATGGGTGATCTCTAATATTAAGGAAGTCTCAAGCTTTTGCTCGCCTGAGGTAGAGTACCTCATGATAAGCTGTAGACCACACCATTTTCCAAGAGAGTTTTCATCTATATTTTTCGTAGCTGTCTATTTACCACCACAAACTGATGCTGGCAGTAAGACTGCACTCAACAATCTGTATAAGGCCATAAGCAAACAAGAAAATGCTCATCCAGAAGCGACGCTCCTAGTGGCCGGAGACTTTAATGCAGGAAAACTTAAATCCGTTTTACCTCATTTCTACCAGCATGTCACATGTGCAACCAGAGCAAAAAAAACTCTAGATCACCTTTACTCCACACACAGAGATGCTTACAAAGCTCTCCCTCGCCCTCCATTTGGCAAATCTGACCATAATTCTATCCTCCTGATTCCTGCTTACAAGCAAAAACTAAAGCAGGAAGTACCAGTCACTCTTTCAATACGGAAGTGGTCAGATGACGCAGATGCTAAGTTACAAGACTATTTTGCAGCACAGACTGGAATATGTTCCAGGATTCATCCGATGGCATTGAGGAGTATACCACATCAGTCACCGGCTTCATCAATAAGTGCATCGATGACGTCGTCCCCACAGTGACCGTATGTACATATCCCAACCAAAAGCCATGGATTACAGGCAACATCCTCACTGAGCTAAAGGCTAGAGCTGCCGCTTTCAAGGAGCGGGAGACTAATCCGGACACTTATAAGAAATCCCGCTATGCCCTCCGACGAACCATCAAACAGGCAAAGAGTCAATACAGGTAAGATTTAATCCTACTACACCGGCTCTGACACTCGTCGGATGTGGCAGGGCTTGCAAACTATTATGGATTACAAAGGGAAGCCCAGCTGCAAGCTGCCCAGTGACACAAGCCTACCAGACAAGCTAAATGACTTATATGGACGCTTCGAGGCAAGCAACACTGAAGCATGCATGAGAGCACCAGCTGTTCCGAACGGCTGTGTGATCACGCTCTCCGTAGCCGATGTGAGTAAGACCTTTAAACAGGTCAACCTTAACAAGGCCGCAGGGCCAGACGGATTACCAGGACGTGTACTCGATTAGAAAATGAACACAGGGAAAATATTCAAGTTAGATACATATTAACTTAAGTGATAACTCACTGGTATTGAATAATTATCAACCTTTGAAAGCAGCATCAATAAAGAGATGGAATGATAGTGCTACTGTGCCTTCCTTCTTTGAATCACTGATTTGATTCTGACATGGTTAGATTGGTGAAAGCAACAGCTTCACCAGAGTTTCATAACATTCGGGGCTCAACCCTGAAGAACAGGGGTGTAAAAAAAACAAAAAACGTTATAATAAAGCATAGTATGCATATCCGTCATAATTGCGGTTCCGAGAAAAGAATTGCCTTTCTAAAATTATTTCATGTAATTATAGATTTTTTTACATTACTGCTACTTGCTGTTTATTATCTATGCATAGTCACTTTACCCTTACCTACATGTACATGACCTCAATTACCTCGACTAACACGTACCCCCGCACATTGACTTGTTACCAGTACCCCCTGTATATAACCTCGTTATTGTTTTTTTATTGTGTTACTTTTTTTACTTTAGTTTATTTAGCAAATATTTTCTTACTCTGCATTGTTGGTTAAGGGCTTGTAAGTAAGCATTCCACAGTAACGTCTACACCTGTTGTATTCAGCACGTGACAAATAACATTTTATTTATTTTATCTATGTTCTTTGCTGTTGGTTTGCCAATGGCTGATCGTCCCACCCTTATTCTTCCGATTTGAGCGATATGATTCGCTGACACAACAGCTGTAAATAACTTTTAATTGGATCTATCCATTTGTGTCAGCAAATCATATAGTTGTAACTTAATGGGCAGTTTGGAGATCCAATGAAAAGTTATTTAGAGCTCTAGTACCAAAGAATCATATCGCTGAAATTGGAAAAATAATATTGGGACTAATATAACATGTGAGAGAACTACAACTTTATAATAAAGCATAGTATGCATATCAATCATATTTGCGGTTCCGAGAAAATAATTGCCTTTCTAAAATTATTTCCATCAATTCTACATCATTTTACGTGAATAGAGACATTACAATCATGTTTTTTAATAGCACAAAAATGACCAAAATAACAGGCTACTCTGACAATGACATACTGAGATCAACAATCGGCTGTCTGCTGTTCATTGACAGCCACATCTCAACAATCAGCTTTTTGATATTTGTTGTATGGGCTGCCCAATTGCGGGCTGACAATACTTCACTGTGAAGAGGTTACTGTGCATATTCCAGTAGCTTAATGGCAGCTGGTTCACAGGAAGTTCATGTTAAATTTTCAATAACTTACTGTCAACTAGTTGCATGGGGGTTATTGTAAAATTCACAGTAACTTACTGTAGCTAACACATCACACTCATTGAGCTGATGGTCTGGTAGGGAAGTGAGTATTACCATGACATAGCTATAAATAAAATATCATATGGCTCTTTTTTTCCAGGTGGCTCTTTTTTCCAGGTAACAAATTTACAGCATCTTCTGGCAACAACTAACCATTAACTTACTTGAAAATGCACAATAACCTCTTCACATGCAGCTTGTTACTGGCATATTATCTTACAAAGTTTGCAGAACAGACAGTGTCAAAGCAGGTGCTTAACTTGATTGGCATAACGTTTAAACTGATTCAACACTTCCACTGACGGTTGGCACAAATGCACATACAGTACCAGTCAAAAGTTTGGACACACCTACTCATTCCAGGGTTTTTCTTCATTTTTTAAAACTATTTTCTACATTGTAGAATAAAAGTGAAGACATCAAAACTATGAAATAACACATATGGAATCATGTAGTAACCAAAAAAGTGTTGAACATTTTTATATTTTATATTTGAGATTCTTCAAATAGCCACCCTTTGCCTTGATGACAGCTTTAAACACTTGGCATTCTCTCAACCAGCTTCACCTGGAATGCTTTTCCAACAGTCTTGAAGGAGTTCCCATATATGCTGAGCACTTGTTGGCTGCTTTTCCTTCACTCTGCGGTCCGACTCATCCCAAACCAGCTCAATTGGGTTGAGGTCGGGGGATTGTGGAGGCAAGGTCATCTGATGCAGCAACCCATCACTCTCCTTCTTGGTAAAATAGCCCTTACACAGCCTGGAGGTGTGTTGAGTCATGGTCCTGTTGAAAACAAATGATAGTCCCACTAAGCCCAAACCAGATGGGATGGTGTATTGCTGCAGAATGCTGTGGAAGCCATGCTGGATAAGTGTGCCTTAAATTCTAAATAAATCACAGACAGTGTCACCAGCAAAGCACCCCCACACCATAACACCTCCTCCTCCATGCTTTACGGTGGGAAATACACATGGAGAGATCATCCGTTCACCCACACAGCGTCTCACAAAGACACGGCGGTTGGAACCAAAAATCTCAAATTACAAATTTCCACTGGTCTAATGTCCATTGCTCGTGTTTCTTGGCCCAAGCAAGTCTCTTCTTATTATTGGTGTCCTTTAGTAGTGGTTTCTTTGCAGCAATTTGACCATAAAGGCCTGACTCACACAGTCTCCTCTGAACAGCTGATGTTGAGATGTGTCTGTTACTTGAACTCTGTGAAGCATTTATTTGGGATGCAATTTCTGAGACTGGTAACTCTAATGAACTTATCCTCTGCAGCAGAGCTAACTCTGGGTCTTCCTTTCCTGTGGTGGTCCTCATGAGAGCCAGTTTCATCATAGCGCTTGATGGTTATTGCGACTGCACTTTAAGAAACTTTCAAAGTTCTTTAAATGTTCCATATTGACTGACTTTCATGTCTTAAAGTAATGATGGACTTTAAGTAATGATGGACCCCCCCCCCCCACCTTGTCACAATACAACTGATTGGCTCAAACGCAATAAGAAGGAAATAAATTGCACAAATTAACTTTTTAGAAGGTACACCTGTTAATTGAAACGCATTCAAGGTGGCTACCTCATGAAGCTGGTTGAGAGAATGCCAAGAGTGTGCAAAGCTGTCATCATGGCAAAGGGTGGCAATTTGAAGAATTTCAAATATAAAATATATTTTGATTTGTTGAACACTTTTTTGGTTACTACATGATTCCATATGTGTTATTTCATAGTTTTGTAAAACTTTAAAAAAAACTTTAAAAAACTTTTAAAAAATTGAATGAGTAGGTGTGTCCAAACCAATTACCTTCAGAAGTCACATAATTAGTTAAATAAAGTCCACCTGTGTGCAATCTAAGTGTCACATGATCTGTCACATGATCTCTGTATATATACACCTGTTCTGGAAGGCCCCAGAGTCTGCAACACCACTAAGCAAGGGGCACCACCAAGCAAGCGGCACCATGAAGACCAAGGAGCTCTCCAAACAGGTCAGGGACAAAGTTGTGGAGAAGTACAGATCAGGGTTGGGTTATAAAAAATATTTGAAACTTTGAACATCCCACGGAGCA